TCACAGAATTTCATCATGGTTTCAAAACTTTCATTTTCCATTTCATATTTATATGACACTCAATACAACCTACTTCATTCGTAACGAGTTTCATTCGTCGCTAATAAATCTTTATAATAAAAAGCAAAATTCCATCGGAGGGCTTCAAAACAAGCTTCCAAAAGTGTGGGGCCTCACCTCGGAACAATCAGCAAGTCTAAAACCCGGGATCGGCTTACATATATTATTTAAAGCTCCTTTCACGCCTATCGCTTGTGTGTGAATCGAGTGGAATATATTGGGACAGGGAAAATACGTACGAGGGCACGTAACCAGGCAAAGACTAACTTTAGTTTTGTTTCCAACATATTTTTCCCGGAAGACAATCATAGTTTGATACTGAACTGTCTAACATAAATTATTCCGGCGCATGAAATCGGATCAAGAAAAAACAACGGCCGTCGGTTTTGAAATAGTACAGAAATTTATCTGCAGCCACTGCAAGTTAAAACTTCCTAGCATATTTACTTATAGATTTTATTTCCGCAGTTTTTTCAAAAACGCAAATGAAAAACTCAAAATCTCAAATAATCAGACGTCAAATTTGTGGCGAATGTTTTTACGCAAAATATTCAAAAGTTCATGAATCAGTTCTATCATCAACGGCCAAAACTCATTTCGTGGAATTCTTCAATGTTTAATTGATGAAAATGTGTCCGAAAATTAAGGGAATTCTCAATCCTACATCACAAAGGACCAAACATATAAAATTTAAATTTCTAAATTCTAAATCTAAAAAATCACAGATTGAAAAAAATTTCAAGTGCTCTTATTCGACTCTCTTGGAAATTTCGCCGTTGTGCGATACGGAAATACTGTATAGTAGTGTACTGTATTCGCTTTGAGGTTTCTTTGTGTTCAAAAGTATTTTTTTAAGGGAGAGCACCCACTTCTTTTAATGTTAGACATAGTGGTCGTCCCGAAACTTGTCCTAGGATGTAGTTAATTAAGGAAACTGATTGATTAAGAAACTGTCCAAATAAAAAAATATTAATTATTAAAAAGATGTAAACGCTACAAGTTCTGAAAAAAAAGAGAGAAGAACCGCCGCGAACTCCGTTCAGTCGTCAGTGAATTGATTAAAGTCGGAAGTACAAATCAAACGATTGCGTCATACTTCAATATACTGTATAAAGAATACCCGCTCCGAGTATATACACTATATCTAAAAAAACACTATAGAATTAAAGATGCTATGAAACAGAAAAAGTGAAGCCATTCAATACGTACAAAAGGCCTTAAAACATGTTCAGCATCGCCCTCTGTGTTTATATCCGTAGGGAGCGGTTGCTTGAGTGCGCTGTTGCGGCCTGCTGTGGTCAGTTCAACTGTAAGTTATTGTTAGTATAGGTCACTGAGAGTTTCACAAATATGGGTTAATGCCCATGCATGACAAATATATTGCCTACATAGACATCTCAACAAAAATTGCATTTTTTTAAACATTAAACACGATTACAGGTGCGTGGAATCTTATTGTACTTGACAAATATTTTCTTCACAGCGGCCTTCTTCGAAACGAGAAAAAATTTTCTCATATCGGAGGATTTTTCCATTTATCCAAAATACAAAAGAACTCTTCCATCTCATTTTTTTCATTTAGCCGTCGAAGACTTTTTTTTAGATTGCTAAGAATGCAGTGCGGGGGTATTTTCTGGAAAATTTCGAAGTTTTTCGTCAAAACGCCAGTTTTAAATTTGTGAAAGTGCATCCAAACAACGCGAGGAAATAATGTCCAATTTTTTTCGTTTCTTGGAGTTTCAGGCAGTATAAGAACTTCTGAATACTTCAAGGATCGTATTTTCACATTCTAAAAACAGTTTCCCAGTGAAAAATGTGCTGAACTACTAAGTTCTCAGATTTTTGATGCTGTGGGTGAAGTTTCGCCGAAAATGTCAATGGATGCTAAGCAAGAAATTGATTATGTCATCGATGCACTTACTGAAATCCTCAACAGAGACTTACATAAATTTTTTTTTAATCGACCACAATTTATTTCGTGGAATATAATTGCCAAACTTTGAGTTTTTGAGAAATACGTCAAGCTGGCAAATAGTTCATAATTTTCAAATCATTCCTAGTATATAACCAGCTCCTTTCCAAAAAAATTTCCTCCATCCTCTTAACAAAAGGATTTCATTTTTTAGGTATAGTGGTGGAAGGTTCACCTTCACGATAAAGAAGTTTGATTCATGCTTCACATCCGGAAAATTTCACCCCCCCCCCCTTCCGGAGTTCCAGACAAAGAAAATTTCCCCATTGAAACATTTAAAGCTTCAAAATAAAATACTGTACATTCTCTGATTTTCCTATACCCAAAGATATTCGAAAGACAAACTTTATAGAATATTTCACCGAAGAAAATTCGAATAAAAGTAACAATCTTTGCGGACAAAGAATCTCCCCAAAGTCGCGACTCATCGGGGGTTTCTCCTTGACAACAGTTTCTAGGAAGAATCATTTCCGACTGACCTTCTTGAATAGCTTCAACATAAATCTGTCCGTCTCGTACGAGGTTCAAAGGCACTTGGAGTTTCCCCCGAGGGCATCGTCCATATACACTCACTGACCGCAGGCCAGAATAGCCTGTCTGTGTGTCTCTTGGCTTCAGTGACCACAGCAAGAAAGACTTCATCTCTCAGAAATAATAAGAGCCTCTTCGCCTTCAGTGTGACGTGGAAGCGAGAGAGAGGGAGAGGAGAAAATACTGTATAAACCGGTCGAATCCGATGAATTATATTCCCAATGTGAACAATTATACGTTTGTGCGCAATATACGCATCAAAAATACCTCACTCAGCGGTCAAATTCAAGAGAATAACGCGAGATAATAGCTGAAGTGTGAAATAAATTCATTAAAATTTCGGATATTATACGAACGTTTCCGTTTTTTTAATACAGTATAGGATGAAGCCGAATAAAGTGGGCCAGGTCTTGTGGGCCATCCGCTAGCGTGACGACCGGGGTCACAGTTCACTCCTCTGTCGTGTAGAAGCGTCATTTGCTGTCACACTCACTTTTCATAACCGTATTTAACGCGCTTTTTAACCGCATTTTCAGAGATGGGCGTTGCGATGATTTTTTGCGGGTAAAAAGTCTGGGAGAAAAATAATCTTCGGGTGAAAATGTCATGCTTGTTAAAAAAAATAATAATTCCCGAATGAAGGAAAAATGCAGAAAATGTCCATTATTTATCACTACAGTCAACCCCTGGTTAAAAATACAGCTCGATGCAATTTTTTTGGCAGTCCATGCAATGTACGTACTGTAGCTTCCTCGAGATTTTATTAAAAAAAGGAAAATAATATTATATACTGTACTGTACTGCACCCTATTCCATGTTCTTGCAGTTAACCCATTTCGCAACATCCTGAATAATGTGGCCAACCAGGCGCAAAGTTTCGTCAACGCGAATCCTCAGGTCAATCCGTTCCCAGGAGTCAATATTCCGGACATAGTCAACAATTTGCCAATAAGTAAGTATCATTCCCTCACTCCTCAAAAATTGCCGTTTAAAAATATTTGTTTTAAAGTTTGTTAAGCACGAATTCATTGAGCAAAACAGCACAGTTCTTCCTTTGCTGAATGGCAATTGGCTCAATCCAAACTTATTGCGACGCATGCGCCTGGACATCTAAAGGAAAAAAAGCTAATTGCAAATTGCATGTTTAGAAAAAGAAACAAAAATAGGCATGACGGAAATGAAATTTTTAATACTGCATGAAAACTCGCGGCAAAAGTTACGTTTTTTTCTACGTAACGTCCCCCAAGCTTGGTCGATCTACCTGTTTATTTATTCATTTTTCAGAAAACTAAGAATTCGAATAAATTAATCTTCAATTTCTTCGAGAGCATCAAAAATATCAAAAAAATAACTAAACCTCGTTAGCGCATTTGCCAAGTTTTTACAAAGAAGAATAATTTTAAAAATTCATCTTCCCTAGCTCCAAACTTTTCAGGGGCGGTTTGCTCGAAAGATTTTTTGAAGTATTTATTTTAAAATGCAATTGAAATATTTTTTATTTTAATGAGTTGCATTCAAGCCCAGTAGGTTTATAGTCATATCACCACGATATTTGAACGGCACTATTGTCCTCGGAAATCGTAGGATAATGCACTTGGTGGCTGATGAATGGTGAGCACGCTTTCGATTCACAGATATACAAGTAAGGCCTCCTCCAAACTCAGGCGGTGGCAGACCAGGTCAACCAGGTAGACCATTTCGACCTGGCTGTGCCCCGGGAACCATCAGACCTGACGGATCTTGTCGGCCCCAGCGTGAGTCACACTTGTACGATTGCACAATTAAAATATACTGCAAAAAAGTTTCCAATATTTAGTAAATTCTGCATAAATCTATACTAGGACTAACGCGGCAAATCTCAACTTCATGAACGCATAGTTCGACTTTAATTATTCAGAATTGAGGCCTGGATTCAAGATTAATTCATGTTTCGAATGTACGCTTCCACGAGTACCGGTAAACACGATCAGAATATGTACTGAAGAAAAGTTGCTAATATTTCGTAAATTCTGCAGAAATCCATATTAGAAGACTATAAGCAGGAAATCTCGACTTCTGGAGTCCTTAGCCCTCGATTTTAATTCTTCAAAAACAAGGCCTGAATTCAAGATCCGTTTCTGTTCTGAATGTACACTTCCACGATTACCTATGTGAACACAACCAAAAATTGGCTACACAAAAGTTGTCAATCTTTTTTAAATCTAAAATCTGTATAAATATATGCTAGAAGACTACGCAGGAAACCTCAACTTCAGGAATGCTTAGCCCTCGATTTTAATTACTCGAAACAAGGTCTGAATTCAAGATCAATTTCTGTTTCAAATGCACGCTTCCACGATTGCCTGTGAACACAACCAGTATATACTGCAAAAACGTTGTCAATCTTTCTTTAAATCTGCATAAATCTATGCTAGAAGACTATACGCAGGAAATTTCAACTTCAGGAGTGAGTTCGATTTCAATTATTCGAAAACGAGGCCTGAATTCAAGATTCTCTTCTCTTTCGAATGTTCGCTTCCACAAATACGTACCTGTGAACACAAAACCAAAATATGCTGCAAAAAAGTTGCCAATATTTCTAAAAATCTACATAAATCTACAATAGAAGAATGGACTGGAAATCTCAACTTCAAGAATTCCTAGACCTCGATCTTAAATACTGTACTGTATTCGAAAACGGGGCCTAAATTAAAGATTCTTTTCTACTTCGAATTTCCGCTTCCACGATTTACCTGTGAACGCGGAAAATATCCAGGATGTCCACCGTATCACTGGCTCACAGATCACACATGTCCTCGTCCTCCTCGTGGGTATTTCCGCCATATTTTGAATCAACAATTACGAACTGAACCCGCCATTTAAACAGTCACGAAAATGCTTTTCAAGGATGCATGGAGTAGCAATCAGTATGTAGGTGCTAAGTTTGAAGAGCAGAACAAAACCCAATGCTTCATGTGCAATTTAGAGGTGGAAGTCAATTGTGCAATATACCGTAGGTAGATTTGAATGCTTCGGGAATACTATCGGAAGTTTTCAGGCACTATTGGAATCATAAACCATCGATTCAACGCGCGGAAACGATCTTATAATCAATAGATCGTGCCAAGCATGAATCCATAATTTCCTTAGAACATGATGCGGTCTTGTTGAGCACAATGCACGATCCCAATTCTTTGCCAGTGAGGCTCGGTTTATTACGATTGGAAACTAACCGTAATATATTTCCTCGAATTAAAACGTGATTATGCACCGTCAACTTTTCCAATTCTTTATTAACTACTGTAGATTGAAAAACAAAAGATTGAGAAAGAACGTCGGAAGTGAACTACATGAAAGAGGATAAATTGCTTTCGATGGATTTTCAGACGATCTATAAGCGCAAATAAATCTTGTGTTTTAACTTTTAAGTAATCTGAAAATTTTCTGCGAGACAAATGGCCCTATAGATCTTAGAACCACGTTCCGACGAAGAATTACATGTACTGCATTGATCTCGCGAATTCCTCTTCTGTTTGTGATTTTGAATGTGAAAGATTACACAAACATTTATTTTACTTGGAAAATAAGTTCATTGATAAAACGGGGCAACGCAACCTAAATAAGGAACAAATTCGCAGAAAATTGAAGACTCATTCAGTAATGTTTATCATGTCACAAAATGACTTGCAGGATTTTCTGCCCCAGAAATGTGGTATAGCCCAGAGAAGTTGATAATACAAAAAAAGCGCAATACTGCATAAAAATAATTATAACTATTCCTCGGGTCATGTTCAAAACCTCCACAAACGTCAAAAAAATACCGGGCATACGGAACATCATCTGCTTCGCAAAAAAGAAATGATGATACAAATTTCGCACTGCTACGTAGTCATTAGTGATTCTTCGCTTTTCATCACGCAACTCAAACAACTAGATTAGCAGAAGAAAAAATAAACTCCTGGTTCTCCCGGCTTCTGTGTAGCAATTCGCTTCAGTAACAATTTTTCGAGGGTTTCGCTGGCTTCAAGTAGAGCTTAGAGGTCCGCAAAGACTCGTCAAATGAATGGGCACCCATAATTCAAAGATCCCTCTGGCTATAATAAAGGTAGTCCCGGACCTAAAGGTGGTCCCGAAGGAGGTGGCTTGGGGAAAGTTGGATGCTGGTGTTGTTGGTGAGACCGTGGAGGCTGAGAGCGTGGTTTGTAGCTGAAGCCTGCAGGTGAGATGGTCTCATATATTTACCCAACTACAACACGAGAAGGATTAAAAGACGCACGTGTAGTTTTTTGGACCTTCAAAATGACGATAATCTTGTCTGAGAAAGGACAGAATGCAATTTCATAAAATTTGATTGGTTCAGAATCAGGGGAGTGCCCTTTTTTTGTACCCATGCTTCACTCAGACCGACGTAATTTCCTCGAATTTTTTTTTGCATAAATTAGGATTGTGAGTTTTGTACCCATGACATAGTGTTCCAGTAAGTGTGTGCAATAGAATCGAAATTTCCTTTCCATTGAAAAGATTGTGGTATTCGTCAGAACTAATCAAGCACGTAACCTGAAAATCTGAGATAAAATCGCACGAAGAAGCTAAACAATTTTTGAAAAATTCTTCGCAGAAAACATTTTTTTACAAACTATTCTTGATTGAATGAGGATATCATAAATTCAAGCAAGATTTTTTTTCCATTAGGATGATATGAATAATAACGGAACAACATTTATGTTTGTCTGTTCAAAATCCAAACGACTCAACAGATAGCCCTTATAGGCAGCTGTTCTGGGTCAAGCGGATTACACCAACTCCGGATAACAAGTACAGTATCCAAACGGACAATGGAATCTTCTCCCTCGGCCACGATCAAGTGAGCACATTTTAAAAATGCACAGAAAGAGACCAACGAATTTTCATAAATTGAGTAGAAATAAAGCCTCGTTTAAATTAACTTTGCAAATATTAACTTAAAAATAAATCTAATTCAAGCGAAAGCCAATAAGAAAGAAAGACAAAATCGCAAGATTTTTCAGCTTACCCAGATTCGAATTGAATTCAAGTACCGCACAAGAAATAAGATGAACCGGAATTTGCTTTCGTAATTTAAAAAATTAAAACGCGAGAGACTATTCTCGGTAATTTCCGTGACACGTAACATGTTTTAAACTACGCTAGCGTGAATTCTTTAAAAAAATGCAATGTGTCCCCCATTTTCAAACTGCAGCACTGTTCAGTGCAGTGCACTTAGAATGTTTTCCACCCAATCAACAATAATAATCAAATATGGTTAAATCAGCCCAACAATCCATTCCAAGCCTGCAACACGCCCTTGTCCGAGAAAGGACATTGCCGCATTTTGAAATACTGCATCTTGCCAACTTTCTCGACGGATTTCAATATTTACCGAAGATATTCTTGTGTCATCGGGAACAAGTGAGTCCGAAAAAATTTGAGCATTTTGAAATTTATTTTCGTTGCTTTCATACAAAATTTCGCGTTCGTTCCTACTTCTTAAAATTTAGCATTGCTGGAGTGTGTTGTCCAGACCACATTTTCAACCCAACCACACAGGCGCCTCCACCGCCACCGNTAGGGAGACCGATATTATTTCCATCAGGGCCTGGATTTCCACCAGGGCTTCCTCCACCGAACCCCTTTCAACCTACGACCACAACAACCACTCTGGCACCTCCGACTCTCGCACCAAACATCGACTTACCTGCAGGTGAGATGGTCTCATATATTTACCCAACTACTGTACAGCACGAGAAGGATTAAAAGACGCACGTGTAGTTTTTTGGACCTTCAAAATGACGATAATCTTGTCTAAGAAAGGACAGAATGCAATTTCATAAAATTTGATCGATTCAGAATCAGGGGAGTGCCCTTTTTTGTATCCATGCTTCAGTTAGACCGACGTAATTTCCTCGAATTTTTTTGTGCATAAATTAGGATTGTGAGTTTTGTACCCATGACATAGTGTTCCAGTAAGTGTGTGCAATAGAATCGAAATTTCCTTTCCATTGAAAAGATTGTGCTATTCGTCAGAACTAATCAAGCACGTAACCTGAAAATCTGAGATAACATCGCACGAAGAAGCTAAACAATTTTTGAACAATTATTCGCAGAAAACATTTTTTTTACCAACTATTCTTGATTGAATGAGGATATCATTAACTCAAGCAAGATTTGTTTTTCATCGGGATGATATGAATCTTGACAAAATAACAATGTTTTTCTGTTCAAAATCCAAACGAATCAACAGATAGCCCTTATAGGCAGCTGTTCTGGGTCAAGCGGATTACACCAACTCCGGATAACAAGTACAGTATCCAAACGGACAATGGAATCTTCTCCCTCGGCCACGATCAAGTGAGCAACTTTTAAAAATGTACAGAAAGAGACCAACTAATAGTCGTAAATTGAGTAGAAATAAAGCCTCGTTTAAATGAACTATGCAGATCTTAACTTCAAAATAAATGTAATTCTAGCGAAAGCCACAAAGGAAAGAAAGACAAAATCGCAAGATTTTTCATCTTACCAATATTCGAATTGAACTCAAGTACCGCACAAGAAATAAGATGAACCTGAATTTGCTTTCGTAATTTAAAAAATTAAAACGCGAAAGACTATTCTCGGTAATTCCCGTGACACGTAACATGTTCTAAACTACGCTAGCGTGAATTCTTAAAAAAAAATTCAATGTGTCCCCCATTTTCAAAATGCAGCACTGTTCAGTGCAGTGCACTTAGAATGTTTTCCGCCCAATCAACAATAATAATCAAATATGGTTAAATCAGCCCAACAATCCATTCCAAGCCTGCAACACGCCCTTGTCCGAGAAAGGACATTGCCGCATTTTGAAATACTGCATCTTGCCAACTTTCTCGACGGATTTCAATATTTACCGAAGATATTCTTGTGTCATCGGGAACAAGTGAGTCCGAAAAAATTTGAGCATTTTGAAATTTATTTTCGTTGCTTTCATACAAAATTTCGCGTTCGTTCCTACTTCTTAAAATTTAGCATTGCTGGAGTGTGTTGTCCAGACCACATTTTCAACCCAACCACACAGGCGCCTCCACCGCCACCGCCGCCGCCGTCGACGACGGCGAAACCCGCCGGTCTTCAATGCCCCAACAATCTCGGTCAGTAACTTCTTTAATTTATCAGAAAATTATTGCGTCGTTAGGATACTGCTTGTAAACCGTTCAACGACGCGTTAAATTACGTAACTATCGTGCGAACCTCAGAAAACCTTGTGGGACATCCCGTAGTAACTTTTCTCAATGCGGGAGAATTTTTAAAATGCCATTGTTATTCATGTTCATGGCCATTTCCGGGAATAAAAGAAGGTTATCTTTTAGGAGAGGCGAAAAAAAGTCATAAAAATGATTTTTGTGCATTTCTTATTTAGACATCGATATTGCCAATTTATTTTGGGAATAATGTACTGTACTGCGTAATGACAAACTGCGTTCAAAAATTGATGAAATTGAATACAGAAAAAGGGACAAAAAACGATCGATGGACTTTTCTTCTTCATATACTGCATGACCATATGGACATTTATAATGTTCATAGAAATTACCCTGTCCACCCCGAAATAACCCAGCCACAAAAATACGACCCGTTACGCTCAAGATGGCAAATTGCTCGAAAGAAGCAAGAAGTTTCCAAAAAGAACATTCGCGCGTGACAATTTAAAAAAAAAGTGCGGTACTCACCCGACAATCCCAAGCTTCGCTGAAAGTTCATATGTGCATGATGTACACATAAAATATGCCTGCATGTTTCTTCATCAGGTTGCGGAGTCAAGCCACAACAACGCGTGGCACAGCTCGGCAGAAAGAAGCGGTCACCACAACTCAGGCCGGTCATCGTCGGCGGCAAATTGGCCTTGATTCAGGATTGGCCCTGGATTGTAGCACTGCTGCGCGACGGCACTGACCCTTACTGCGGAGGAGCACTGATCACCAATCGACACGTTCTCACAGCTTCCCACTGCGTACAACCGTAAGATTTACGCCACGCATTAAATAAATTCACATTAAGATCGACCGGTGGACTCATCTATCAATTACGAATTTTAAATAAAGAGATAACCATAGAAATTCGCTGTAGAGAGAATTCTGCCTAAAAGAGACACCTTTTTATAGGATGGGGGGAGTGAAACCAGAAAAAAAGCATTGTAACAAAGAAAATCCTTGTAGAAAGAGAGTTGTCCACCTGTAATATAATACATTTCCAAATGAAAATGCTAAGAATAAAGTTTTCAAAAGCGGTTAAACATACAGTACGTACACCTTGAACAGTAAAACTCTTGGGCTTCGAAAAAATGTCTTCATTGAACTCGTCCAGATATATTAACTTTCAAAAGACGCCTCATTCATTCTTGAAAAAAAAATGTAATAAGAACAACGCTCCCGTTGAAAAATTGAAGTACGGCCGTACTTCCAAATTTTTGTTTACTTTTTACCAGCACCGGTAAAAAAGTAACCAAAATCTTCAAAATTCATTCCAAAGTTCCGAAGAACGCCGCAGTTATGAAACCAGGGTAAACTAATCTTATGTAATCTCTAAAATTGAAAACTTCCATTTTAATTATTCCTCATCATCGCTTTTGCATCAGCGATCATAATGTCATCAACGTAACAGCTAGCGGGCGTTTCGCTAAGAACTCATTTTTGTCCAGCAGCAGAACAAATAACTTGCTCAGCATTGCGAACCCCGTAATTCATGATATTAACTACAGTATTGCAAAAATAAGTCGGTTTCTTGAATCAGATGCAACGAAATGCTCTTCACAAAAGCTCACGATGAGTCAAAATCGCGCCACGTTCGAAAACAGTCAATTTCGCATGCATCGCCAAATTAAGCACACCTCATGATCAGCAAAACGTTCATGGGAAATGGAAAAAATTAAAATTCTGTGGAATGGGCACATCATGCAAAACCTAACAAAACATAATGCGCACATTCTAGATTCACGGCCCCAGAGATCAAAGTGAGAGTTGGTGAGCACGATTTCGACGTCACAACGGATTCCTTCCACAAGGACTTCGGAGTGCGCAGGATCATCAAACACCCGCAGTACAACACGAAAACGTATCACAACGACATCGCTGTCATTAGCATGGACGGAACGGCGGACTTCAGCTGCAATGTTTGGCCCATTTGTCTGCCTGACGTCGGCGACGAATACACCGGGAAAACGGCTACGGTCGCTGGTGAACAAAATTTCATTATACTTCCTTTCAATTAATTTACATGCGCGATCAATTCGCAACAAAAAACGTCAATGACCTCTCGTAATTTTATGCGACGATCGAGGAACGATTTCATTATACAGTATTTAAGTCTGCGACGATCGAGGAACGATTTCATTATACAATATTGAAGTCTGAAACAAAATGCGGAGAAATGGCTCTGTTCTTAGCCCGGGCAATATGCAGTATATACTCTAAGTTCTTTGCCAACTCTCGGAACGACAAACACAAAAGGAAGTCAATTTACAAGAATTGAAAACCCGGAGAGTTACTGGCACTCAAAAATTCATACCAGAAAAGTCTAATGAAATATCTTACCATATATTTATTGCGGCAAACAAATTTTGATCCATGCACATAAATGTGCATCCAATCAAAAATTCAAATTAACAATAGAAAAAATTACTTGAATCTTGATTCAGAAACTGCTTCTTCGGTGGAATCAAGGGTTTATACATATGTATACTGTACACGTATACAGCATGTATAGATTGATGAATTTCCGAGCGGTCTCATTCGAAACAGAAAGAAGAATTACAACTCCAAATGATATTGAACACCTCAACGTTGCAAGCTAGACGTTTCGCTTGCAACGTTTGAGGTTCAAAATAATTAATACGCACACTATTTGCAAGTAAGCAAAGCAGATTCTCAGCAAAAAATAAGAGCTTCAACCTTTTTTTTTAAGTATGTGGCTATCTCATTACAGTGGTAGGTTTAACACATAAAACTCAAGCTTCATATGGATACAGTCGAGCTCTCCACACGAAATTCTAGGGGCCAGAAAAAATTAGTTGTATGGAGGGAGGTTCGTAGTATAGAGAAAGCGTATAAATGCGGAAAAAACCCTACGGACCCCGAAAAAATTCGTTATAAAGAGAAAATCTTTCAATTGACGCAATAAGGGATAGTGTGAAACGCAGCACTGTACTAAACTTCATTATGTATTTTATTTTTCAATACACACTCTAGGCTGGGGAACCGTGTCGTACGGAGGTGAAACGAGCAATCAACTCCGCGAAGTCTCTTTCGCCGTCTGGAACCAGGATGACTGCTCAAAATCGTACCCATCCCGAATCCAAGATACTCAGATGTGCGCCGGCGTCGCAGAAGGAGGAAAAGACTCTTGCCAGGTATGAAAACAAAAGGACGCATTTCATCCTATGTGTATGACTTTCCACTTACACACACAATAACAGGGGGATTCCGGCGGTCCTTTGGTCATGGAGAAGGATGGACGCTTCCAACTGATCGGCATTGTGTCATACGGCGCCCGCTGCGCGCAAGCAGGATTCCCGGGGGTCTACACGAAAGTGAACAAGTACATGGACTGGATTCGAACTACCATCCAAGAGGACTTCGCTGGCTAAGATTTTCGACGAAAATTACGTAAGGGGATATTTGAAATTTCAGACCGGCAGTTCATCTGCACAAAACTTTCGACTGTACTTCCTTGAGAAAAATGAAGTAAAACAATCTCCTGTATTCCGGAAATACAAGAATTTTGTACAGTGGTGTACCTTTCGATTGGCTGCCCAAGTTATCGTCGCCGACATCTCACAGTATCAGTCGTTCCACAATTGCTGGTAAATCGACGATTTCGGACCACAGTTTTGGATATTATGCAGATTAATCCATTCTGAACTTCTCATCCATATATAAATGGAGTTTCACACATTTTCACCTGTACAACTATATACTATAGGTATATTTTTATACACATTCCGTGCAAGAAGGGCTTTTATTGAATAAAATCATTGAAAAGCAGCACAAAAGTTTCAATCGAAAAAAACATGTAAAATTTTTTGCATTTATTCATCAATTAGTTCGAAAAAAGCCATGGGTGCAAGGAACTGAGGAAGAAAAGCTGAATTATGTCGCCCATTAAATTTTTCTTTGCCTCTGAGATATTTTTTCCAAACTGAAGGAATATTTTCTGCATATTGATTTGGTTCCAGGTGACAATTATTTTATGAATCTTTCGCATGATTAGCACAAAGCAAGCAATATCGATCATCACGCTGACAAAAGACTAAATAATGAAATCATTCGTAACAACACAATTCCAAGACAATTCGAAACCTTCACCACCGTTTTATTGCTTCATGGACGGATTCCGGATATCATTTTTAAAACATTTTTCGTTTCCCGCCGTACAACTCGTGTACGGTATGCACATCACCATTTGACTAGAAATGTTGTTTCGCATCATCGATTCGTATATACACATGAAAATCGAAGTATGCAGTTCACAAACTCACACGCACGAGAAAAAATTTCTAAATGCAGCACAATTACAAACAACGTTCAGGAGCCAGATGAAATCTACCGCCACGTGAAACATTGCGAACGGTCTTGCTTTCATTGGAGGATTTCAAACCTCATGAAGCCTTCTAGAAGACACGGAACTAACTTGATTAACTTCCACAAGCCGAAATGCCCTCACAACGAGGGCAATACTCTGAAAAAGATTCCCGAGCCCCTGCCACAAAGGATCAGAGGCATCCCTGACAAACCCAGCAACATCAGCCAAGAAAAAGGCCAATGGCCCAAAAAAACTTTCCTTCAAAACCCGCAAGGCCGGGATCCAAACGTATTCCCCAACCAGAATGAACACTCCGAAAACCAGGGGCGAAAGAATGCCACCGATCACAACTTTACCAATGCCCAAGAAGACATGAACCACACTAGTCAGAAAGACACGAATGAGTTCGAACACAGACTCCACTTTCGTATGAAATCGGACGGAATTTGAACTTGACTCTTTACCTGGGTTCTTAGAATACTCAAGTGCGCTCGTTGATTGATTTTTTAAAGACGATTCGTGCACAATAGGTTTCGACGAGGTCACGGGAAACAACGGCGGTAGTTTGTGAGGAGGAAGTTCACGCTTCAACGGCGCCTCTTCAGGGATTTCTTCCGGATGCGAGGAGCTCCTAGCAATTTTCTCTCTGGGAATTTTCCCATCGTTTCCTTGCGGCTCGTACTTCTTCCGAAAGCTGAACTTAAATTTTGGCGGCTTTTCTTCCGCTTTTTCGGGACCGGACTCACTCACAGCTTCTCTGAAAGAAACCGATTTTCAGGCATAGCCGTTTTTCAGGCAGCACAATTAATACGCGACGGTCAATGGACACTTCCGTTAAATTTACCCCAGTGATGAACTGGATCTAAGATAGAAACTTTTTCGTTATGACAATATGCCTGGAACGCATTTAATCCAACAAGAAATATGTTGAATAGAATAATACCGAATACTCGAATTAAATTCCCATTAAGAAATTAAAATAAAAGAATGTACCTGAAATCCCCAGGAGGAATGTTGCTCTGAACATTTTCACTGGAATGCGCTCTCTCTTTTCGCTCCTTGGGAACTGGAGGAGCTTCTGACATACTATCCCAGTCTGAATCAGACTCCTGATCTCTTTTATGACTCATGACAGGAAAACTTTTAGAACACTACAGGAAAGAATCACAAACCTGAAAGACAATAAAAAGCAATTAAGAAGGATAAAGAGCACTGTCACTAAATCGGTAACTGCTTCAGCCAGATTATACAAGGTCGTTGAATTTAAGTCGACACACGCGTGATAAAAGGTTGGTTCTCCATTACAGTACTTTCGATTCTGAAGAAAATACCAACAGAACCAGGGATCAGGAAGAGGAAAGACTTTTCGCTTTCTTTTCGTCGGAGCAGTTATACAGAAGATAGAGGGGCGAAAAAAGAAAGAAGTTTTACGCGGCAACGATGCGCGCAGGGGTATTAAGTCATTCCTGCATTTCTTGATCCGCGATTCGATCGACCGGGTCTAACGACATCCTAAAACGATATTTTCCAACTTCACTAAAAATAGTGAACGTAAAAATTCGCACATGCCCAGGAAACAAAAAATGGGGATCACAGCATCACTTTAATCGGGTCCAGGAGAATGTGACAAAGCCAAGCCGTGTACACTGGATGACTTGAGCTTCTTCAAGGCTACGTCGAAGTCGACCTTGGTCATCGCTCGAAGACCATCGGGCAATGGCATATTCCCGCTGTTGCACACTTCTCGAACTCTAGTTATCGCAGCCGTACGGCATAATTCATAGAGATCTGATCCGCTAAACCCATCCGTTCTTCCAGCGAGTGTTTCTAAGTTCACATCATCAGACACGGATTCATTGCGCAGCATGAGTCTCAAAATTGATTCGCGTTGGGGCTGGTTTGGAAGGTTCACGCGGAAAACACACGGCATTCGACGCAAAATAGCCGAGTCAAGATCTGACGGACGATTCGTCGCACCCATCACCACAACCATACAGTCATTTCGCGTTGCGATGCCGTCCCACAATGATAAGAACTGTGATTTCATCATCGCTGTTGCTTCGTGATCGAAACCAGTCCGGGTCCGCAAGAAACAATCTGCAGGAATCGTGAAATTAACTTCCATTTCATGATAATTTAACCGAAGAGAAAATGGCAACAAACTCAAGGACGGGGAAACGGAGTTATTCAAGATCAGGGCTTTCTTTCTAATGTTTCAGACGGTCGAGTGCATTAAAATACTGTATTTAAAAAAGTAAGTAATGCACACATACATGACGAAGACAATATTGTCAATATAAATTATATGCCTCAATTTATAATGAAGAAGTGATTGCGATGACCATTAAACTTACTGTATTTGAAACAAATCAAAGAATTAAAAATTTCTTACATCACGGTGCCTGCATGATTTATCACATGAAGTAAATTTGATCCTGTACCACTCGTCGGCGATACAACAATGATGTTAAAGCGCGTATTCAAAAGAAATACTTCGAACCTTTTTCTGGAGATGAAAAGGTTTCTTACCTATTTCATCGATGAAAACAATGCAGGGTTGAATCTTGACTGCAAGACTGAAAACTGCAGCGGCAAGCTTTTGACTCTCGCCATACCATTTGTCGGTCAAAATTGACACTTGTAAATTGATGAACTGCATTCCAGATTCACTGGCGGTCGCGCGAGCGAGCAATGTTTTCCCGCAACCAGGTGGCCCATGCAACAAAACTCCTAAAATTTGCAGGAGTGGAAAAAAAAGGGTTACTCGAAAAAAAAATTTAAGTTCAATAAAATCTCAAACGCAAGCTCTGAAGTTTCATAAAGCCAGGAAAAATATCGTGCAGACAGAAATCCTCAAAGAGATTTAAAAACAAAAAGCCGTCGATCTCTAGTGCATCTAACCTTTTGGTGGTTGAAGAAGACGGGAATTGAAGAGTTTTCGATTTATAAGAGGCAGAATAACGGTCTCTCGCAGCTCTTTGATGGTTTCCGTTAAACCCCCGATATCCTCCCACGTCGTGAGAAGACTTTTAGGTTCTAGCAACTGGCTAGCGATCATGAGCTCGTGCTCTGTCAGTTTCAGGTTTCTTTGAATATTCAACTTTGACAGTAACAATTCGGCTTTCTTTTGCGCGTCGGCTTTTTGCTTTCGAGTCGGATCCAATAAATCCATCATCACTTTCACCGTCACATATGACACGCCGCATGCGATCCCGAGTCGTGTGAGCACCGACAACACGTCATAACGGTCGAATCTCATACCGTAGTCACTCATCGTGACAAATTTTCGTCGCCACAGACTGTACGGATGAAGAATAGCTTCAATTTCAGGGACATGAAAAATATTTTGCACGGTAACAAAAATAACACTGGATGAACGTCATGAAATTCATTAGCGGAAAATGCAACAGTGCTCTCATTTGAAGCACTGAAAAATGACATCATGCACATGCTCACACTAACTGAGCGTTCAAATCGCATGAAATTTCCTAAGAGATCAGTCACTGAACACGTTTAGGAATGCCCATCGTTTCACGGAATGCTTCTCGGAACGTTTAGCGCAAGCTTGGATGTCCTGTCGCCACTATCACATTTTCTTCAAAATTCTCAAGATATGAACAGTATACAAGGTTACTTCGGAAGATTTTCAGGTGATATGATGAAGTTTCGGCAAAAAGGAAGACACTAAGGGAAGAAAATTTCGGAGAAATCCAACTAATCTTTCGCGAATTTAATTTTCAAGATTTGTCGGCGAGGCCCAAAGTCAACTTTTAGAATTCAGTATTATAAATTCGGTCGAGTTTTGGGCATTTCATCACGAAGGATATTACAGCAGATCCGATTTCATTGAAGAACATTTTCTTCGCACCATTATGACTGAAATGGGTAAAACAAAGAGGCCAGGAACGGGACATAAAAAATGATTTAGAGCCATTATTTCACGGTCTCCGACTAGTCCAATAGCCTGGAAGTGTCCTCCAATCCATCCTCCTCTGACTAGATAAAATTTACTCAACGAAAAAACTTGGTGACACGAACAGCTTTTACCATTCGCTTTTAAAAGCAAATGAATGGGGAAACGATGCGTTTCACTAGTTCTAGAAGATTGAGCAATGCCTTTGATATAATTTCAAGTTCAAATTCCTGCAGATCTACTGATACGCACGATATTCCGTCGATATGCTACAAGACAATTGCAATCAAAAATGACCTATTCATAAATTTGAAGATTGCACACGATGGAATCACAGGAAATTTTCAGGTAGAAATTCGCTAATGCAGCTTCGCTGATATGGTTGTGTTCTACCAGAGCAGTTGATCAACTACAAATATTTTCAATTCGAAACGTTAACGGGATTTAAAGCTGGTAGATTCATTAGCCCATGGCGGGCTTGATATTTCACCATCATGTCTCTAACGGACGTGCGCGGAAGAATTCGGCCAATTCGTTCACTGTAAACTCTCCTCGCCGCACTCACTCCATGGATTAATGCGTATCTCCCAATCTCATACTTGAGATCCTGTGTGTACTTTTTGCGGAACCGTTCAACGAATTCATTCGAGTGCTGGATTTGAGGAGATTCATCACGGGAAGAACGATCCACTCGAGATACTCCACTGAGATGCCCACGAGATAAGTCGAGCAACCGGAGCGCTGCTTCTTCGGCTTCGAAATCTTGTTCACGTTGCGGGGCATGTACGTCTAGCTCTTCATCCGAAAAAGGATCAGGAGAATTTTTGTCGTTTGTACCAACGGCTCTGGACACCAGATTGGGAAGTCGTTCGATCGTCACATCGGGCACGGGTAATTCCAAATCTTCCTCTCGCTTCTTGATAACGCTCGGATCTAACCACTGGATAGTGACTTCAGGTGGAGGTATTCGTGCCTGCTTAAAATCATCGTTAAACGAATGTTCCGAGGAAAATAAATCCAGAGAATAGCTACCATATTTGGACAGTTATTGAAGAGCTCATTCAGTTTTTCTCTGAACTCTCCTGACTTGACGGCTCGCAAAGTTTCAGCTTCCGCTGCATTTTGATGAGAAGCATCGAGACGAATGAACTTCCGTTTAAAACTTCGCACCGTACTTTCATTTAGCTCAAGCCCAAATTTAGCGAAAAATCGAACCGCGGCAGTATTGCCACATTTGAAAGCGTAATCTGCTATTACAAGCCTCTGTTCAAGTTCGTATTTAAAATTTTTTCGCCCTCGCAGCCGTCCACGCAGTACGTTCTGAAAAACACACACACACACTCAGTGCAACATAAAATGAATGAAAACGGATGATGCCGTTAATACGTACATCTTGACATTTGCTATCCAATTCCCGGTCACTGCTCTCTTGTCGGTCGTGCCGAGATAAAAACCATTTCTTCATATCTCTAATAGTACTCTCTGGAACCCTAACGCCAAGGTTTGTTTCAAAATGATCTCTAGCCTTTGAATTCCCGTATTCAGATGCGAACTCTCCAACTTGAGCACGAAATTCCCGCGAATATGCTAGCCGAGCTTTCCGTCGAATGAGACCGGGAGGAGGGGATGTGGGATTTCCGCATTGACGAACGAAGTGGCGAACAGTGCTTTCGCTAAGAGTAAATCCAAGTTCACTGGAGAAATGTTCTATCGCACTTTGCTTTCCGTGAGTTTGAGCATAGCGACCAATTTCCCGTTTGAGCTCCATCGAGTACTTCCTATATTTCCCCCTTTTCTTGCGATTCGGGTCTCGACTGAACTCATTGCCGGAAGATGGAGATTCATCGCTCTTTTCGTCATCCTCATCTGCCGATACAGATCAAGCATATTACATTTCTAAGAAGCGTGGTCACGAGAATCGCTTACCTGCACACTCAGACGAGGAATCGGCATTTTTTTCCATGGGAAGACTTATGCCACGATCTGATACATCTAGGGACTTATAGAAGTCCAGGTTGAAAGAAAAAAAAGGAATGATGATCTGCAGGAAAAATCTGAAATTTTATAACTGCAGTTCGGAGAGAAGTTCAGAATGCCGTCAACACAGAAAACGTTTCGAAACCTCTGAAAACCACCAGCATTGGAACAAAACATCACCACGCCGACAGTGTGACCAATGGTCGCGGCCATGGCAACCGCTAGTGGAAAAAGCGAGAAGCACAGAGAACTGAAAGTTGCGAACAACCTTTAACTAGCACGAAGTCCATTTTTTCAAAATCGATTTGAGAATAAAAAACGATCTCAAATAATTGGACAAAAATATACAAATGCACTTCCGACCTCTTAAAAAAAGTGAAATGAAAAAATCGGTTCCGCTAATAGAAGAATACGCTAACGAACAAAACCATCAACTAAGAGGCTCGCGACTCCTCGACCTGGATCTGTTCCGCGTCGTAGAACTGCTACCTTGACGCTCGAAAAGTGCTGCTCCAGAAGACACTTCCGCTGCGTCATCCACGTCTTCAATTCCGGAGCCAAGTACATCACTCAACCGCGGTCCGTCACTGTTGATCGCCATTGCTGCTTCAGGAATCCGCCTCGTCAAAAAGTTCGATGGTAAGCTTCGACTAGAATTGCGGCGGATCGCGTTTGTACCCGGGGAAATCACAGAAGAAGCCCAATCCAATATACGACGCGATCTCGCAGGTGTATTGGACGATTGTGACGCAGTTCTTGGACTTGTCGCTGTTGTGGAAAGGGCAGTATTCGACGGCGATGTGGTTGTACCTATGTTTTATAAGGTACAATACAGTATTGTCATCTCAAAATACAATGGAGCTCAGATTACTCAGCAGTGAAATAATCTGATGTTATCGCCGAGGCATTTGAATGCTACGAATAATAAATTACGCCCGTTTTAAAACATTAAACAAATTATAGTCAACATATTAATTAATGAACTTACACTACATTACTATATCACCGAAATTCCAACAAATTTGAAGTGCAACAGTATAGACCCGATAGTCTGGTCAATCATAAGCGGGAATAAAGAAGACCATCAAGGTATAGTACAGTGTACAGCTGCTTTATCAAATGGAAACAATTTTGACACAGTTTGTTAGATGTACAATTACTGGGAACCAAAATAAGTTCAGATTCATTTCATATGTGGCGAAAACCGAAAAAGTCAACTGTGAAAGGAGGGAACGACAATTCATGGTTCTATAAATCCATAAAAAATAAAAACCGTACGGAATCATCGTTCAGAAGAAACAATGTTGGTCCAAAAATTAGTGAAACATAAAAATGAGAATAGAAAAACTACAAAATGTACATAAACGAGGACATTCAATTGAAATCGTCACAGAGAGATGACAAAGACAAAAAAAAATCATGGAATATAAGGAATTTCAAAGTTCTGGACAAGAAAACATATCTAACTTGGCACTGAAGATGTCCAAAAATATTACCTATTTACAGTATAATGTTTAAAGCTCCAAAAAAATTTCAGATTTTCAAGACATTTTTTTTTACACCCCATGTGAAGGCAAAAATTCATCGATTATCCACTAGTGCGCTGAAAAATTTTGGGCAGTTCAAAAATGATGTTATCTTTCTTACGTCCTGTAATATGCTTAAAATTTTCGATCATCCGTTTTTTTTATTACAAAAACCGAACACTCTTTGGGGGTTGCAATAGCAATAAATAGGTGTTCAGTTTCAATATCCCAAAATTTTCTCAAAACTATTTTCTAACTCAAGGTAAAAATTTGGGCCCTTGAAAATGTTCTCCCCTTTATTGCCAGTCTTATGAAAATCGTTCAATTTTTAATTGGCTGAACGAAGATTGTAACAGAATATTGGACGTTCAATGGTTTCGAAGTCAAACACAGTAATATTTCACCTCGCCTGTGCCGTACCACCCAGTCTTTCCTCAGTTGTGCAGTTTTTCTCAGGGTTCCGCACAACCTACGCCCCTTGGAAAGACTGGGTGTGCAGCAGAAAATAAATAGAAAACTTTCAAAAGATTGGCAGCTAAACTTGCGACCAGGCTCTCATCGTGCAAAAAATCTGGCATGCAAAGCGTTGGGTGAAATACACAAAAAGCTCGCACAGTATCTCACCAGAGCACCACCGTATTGTTGAATGTATTCGCGGTAAGAATTTCGCTTGTAGTAGTATTACCGGAACACCCACCAAGTTGAAAAGAGGGCATTGTGTGCAGAAACAAGGCGCAAAAAAAAAAAAAACCTCACCAGCATTGATGATATTGGCGGCGTTTTCAGCATGACGAGGACCGAAGGAAATCATTTCCATATTGCGCCCGTTTTCAAGAACAGGGAATCGATACGACTGTTCAGTTTCACTCGTAGAAGTAGAACGAAGTGCGCTGTCGATACCCGACTGCGTCAGGGCAACGTAAAAAGAAGTTCCTCGATTACGATTCCGAATCCTGCGTCTCACAGGAGTATCCGGACGAGATCTAGAACCTGAGTTCCCTTCGGCCGTTCCCGGAATTTGCGCTGCGTTCGGCGTCGACGGAAGTCCCATGAAACCCTTAAAATAAAATTAATGAAAAGCGAGATTTTTTACTGACGTCAGAATCTTGCTCACATCTTCAGTGGTGAATTGTGATTTTTTTTTAACCATGTTGGTTTGGGGCAAAAACCATGGATAACAGCAGCGAATAATGGAAAAGTGGTATCCCGCATGACGATTTTAACCGAAAATTATTGTTTTATCTCGTTATGGACCCTACTTTCAATGATTGACTGAATGGAAAATTAACAAAAATGTCATTGCCATGGGAAATGTTACTGTCAGCATCAGAATACTCAAGATTTTTCATCTATTTTTTTTTCTTCACAGACACACAAGAAACGCAGAACGCACCGTTAGAATTGCGTCAGGATCCCGAACGACAACCGATCGATTTCCTCCACGAAGCATCCAGGCTGCGACAGCCTCACTAGATCCAACAGGACCATTGCCAATATCTGTATGTTGGTCTCTTCTGGACGCTGTTCTCCATTCAAAATTATCAGCGGGGCGCGGGATGGGCGTCAGTTGGAGACGTCCCAACGGCGGCGGCGGCGGTAGAGGAGGTGGCACCGGTGCGTTGAACAATGACCCAGCACCGCCAGCGCTGCTCGTCATCGGTCCAATTTGAACAGCACTGAACTCGACGCTTCGGGTTTCTGAATTATTCGGATTCTCGTCAGTCATCTGGGATTCCAACGATCCTCGTCGATTCCGCCGACCCTTCCTAAAACGCGAATAGGTCTAGATTATTATTTTTCTAATGCCCTTCATAACGAGCGCCGGAAGAAAACAAAATAGGAAATATTAAGAAAAATCATTCAAAAGTCAATTCAACTGCAGCCTTCGCGGCACCAAAAAAAAAACCAGTACGAGACTCAAGAAAATAAAAAATACTTGTACTATTTTGGCTTTTCGACACTTTCATCAAATTCGAATTTAAGGAAAAACGCACTTTTCTGACAGTACAACAGAGCATGCGTGAAAAAAGAATACAAGAAGCAAAAATCGAAATAGCGCATGCGACCCACATTAGACCTTATTAAATTTTATTATACAAGTTCCTGGGACTTCATGGGAACATTTTTGCATCTTTGTAAAGGTAGTAGCATCACACATTTTTTTTTTAGCTGCATTTCCTTTCATAAACCTCGCTTTCTTCAACAAATACCGTATGGTTGATGTGTGAACGACACTAAATAAACCCAATCTTCATTTCAAAACTTCATGATGATTAAATATCGTCCGCGGGACTCTCAAATCAAAATAAGACGTGAACAAACGAGCATAAAAAGCAAGAGAACAGTTGAGTACTCTACCCGAAGCGTTATTCGGCAAGACTTTTGAAAATTATAAGATCTCCGACCCTGGTAGAAATGCGGCGAAAAAGCCGATGGAAATTCGAAAGCTTATACGTGCCAGAACCCCCGATGAACCAGCATGGGTCTTTCAGCGGGAACTGGATACTGACTGTACCCATCCAATACACCAGGACATTTCGATTTCGGGTCGGGATTGCTCACGGGTCCACGTAAAACCTGCCCCGGATGGTCTTGATCGTCCGTCAAGAACGTCACTCGGCGTTCAGCCATGGCTTTCACTATGTTTTCTTATGCATACCTTCGGAGCAATCTTCTCAACAAAAAACCATAACGTAAAAAATTAATGTAATGATTACGTAAGGGACATAAAGACGTATGAGGGCGTAAAGCGTAAGTTTCAAGGTAAACTGTACATACTTCCAAGACTCTTCAATTAGGTGCACGAACGGAAATATACCACCACAGCGAACAAATTCCATGACCTTCAGAGGTAATTGGGACATGCTGAAGAAGTACTCCCAGCCATACACGTCTTCCGACTTTCTAATACTAATCATGAACACGATTACAATAGAACGATTAGGTATCATGCCATTGAGTCCAACAATACACAAGATGGGTGGACTAGAGAAGTCTCCGATTCCTTTTCCCTCTGATCTGGTCCTTTTCCTGCTGGCTGAACGCATCCTGAATGCGAAAATCAGACGCACACGACGACGATTAAAAAATGAGAATAATCTGGATACAAGGCAGAATTGTCCTCGTACAACAAATTTAATTCCACTCCCGATTTCGTCTTTCCTTCCACTATCAGTCAAGCTTCTCATGTAAACAAAAACGAACAGACACACCACAGTAGAGAGAACGATTCCAGGAAGAAACAAAATGCTTTTCCTTTTCGCGATCGTTCCTCGCAACGAACGTCTAGTGCACCTAATGACCAGTTTCAAGACAATGATCTCTTTTGAAAATCTCTGAACACCCATGACTTCATCGCCTTCCGTCTCACTCGGAGAAATTCTTGAAAAATCGGACACCGAGTTTCAAAGTGATGCAATCGCGAACGCTTCGAACTAGACCAAATGGTAAGCTAAAATTTCAGAATCGAAGAAACCCGCAGAATTCAAATAATTCGTTGTTCGCTTCCTAGGAATAATCGCAACATCGCGATCAGAATAACTTCACCTCGAAGTGCTCTTGTTACAGGACGAAAAGACACACACAGTTACACGCGGAGAATTCAGCTAGGATCCCTTTCTAACAAGAATCATTTCGCGGGAGGATCACGCAGAATATCGATTTCGCACTCCGCCGTTTTTGTCTTCAAAAATCGAATTCAATGTCGGAATTCTGGTAAATTCACCAATGTATCACTTGAAGGAGATGCTTTACCGAGACACACTTCGAAAAACTTAACTTGTGTAGAGCATTTATCTCCCAATTTAAATCTTGGTACCAAGATCGAGGAGCACTGGAGGTACTCAATAGAAAATACAGAACACGAACAATAAGTTTCTGGGATGGGCTCTTGAAGATACTAAATCTGCCAATCATTTAGCGTTTAGGATCTAAAAGCAACTAAATATTTTAAGAAGTGAGACCAATACGTAAGAAGAGAAGAAAAAGACACTCGATACGATTTTCAAAATTAAAACGGATCACAGATTTGTTTTTGTTTGACGAGGGAGAATCATTCAATTCGAACCACACAATTAATTAGTCATAATTTCATAATTCCGATGCATTTCAGAAAAATTCGTGCCCACTATTGACGGGTTCCATCAATTCCCTCTGAAAATGTGAAGGTTTGAAATTGAAAAAAAAAAAAAAAACCATGGCAAATCTGAATGAGTACGGATACACACGAAAAACACGCATTCAAATGATCTGTCATTCATTCGTCGACAGAGAAAACTTTAGTAGGTTCATCAAAATGAATTGAAACAGTGATTGTCGGGATTCAGCCCGTGATTTGAGATTGCTTCTTTCCGGTTTGTGATTTCAAAGACACTTGAAAAGAAATCAGCTCAAGATTTTCTTTCTTCCGTACAGCTTGAAGCTCTATAAGACTCAAAATTCTAGACACTTATCACCACAACCGCTGCAAAGGTTGAATTAATTTTTGAAAATGAGTTTAGCTGGGAATGGATGAGGAATGACGGATATCACTTCACTGCCGCTTCTTTGGAAGAGACGAATAGGAAGTTAACGTAAAACGAGCATTCTCAAAATTCTCAAAATTGGATAAAATTAAAAATTCGTACGACCTTCCCCTGATTGACTGAACAAAAGCAATCACAATTGGCAATACAGTGCTGAATTCTGCTCTTAACACACAAAAATTAAAAAGGGATCAAACGAAAAAGTCGTAAATGCTCAAAAGCAATTTGGAATGTTACAAGTAAATCAAGCAGCATTTGGAAGTCCACAAAAAAAAAAGGATTTCAAAATCGTAACATAACTTCAACCAGCTTTTGCCATCAAATTACGATTGATCCTATGTTTAAGATACAATATACAGTAACAAACGTGCTTTCAACATTGCACAGATCAGGGAGAATTTTAAAAATGTAATTTTGAACGAAGGTTTCCAACGTTCGGCTTTATCTTGTTCCTGATCTAATTTTCATAATTTTATTTGCAACCGCTTTTGTCAGGCATCGAAAAAGACGCTGAAGAACTCACCTCAATTTACTTCCTTTATCTGAAGGTACAAATTTAAATTAGAAAATTACGCCAATATTCAAGCATTGAATATCGCAGTATACAGCAAAAAATCGATGTATAATTTCGTCGTGCAGCTGCACTTGAAATTAAGAGATTTTACAAGATAGCTGGATTACTGTACTTCAGAAGATCGGCCCGAAGAGCAGAAGTTCAATAACAGAATACAAATGAATCATGGGGTAACCGAATTCACCGGGTTCACACGTATGTAGCGAACACAACAGAAAAACCTGAATTTTCCTCCCACATTACCGTCATTTTGAAACTGAGGCACACTGGAGTGCAACAAAAAATCACGAATGGACGACTGCAAAATTGAAATCCATCCTTTCACATACGAAAGACATCTCCCTTCCCTTGGAAAAGAGACCAAAGAGAGCCAATACGAAAACGAATACCGCCCTCGAACATCCGCAGTATTCGTATGTGACCTTGAGTTACTCCGAATTTCCTCGCGTACCGAAACTGTTTCAAAATGGCTTTAGCTCGAAAGCGCTCTTTCATACTCAAAATAACGAACAAATGATCAATCACATCAAAGACTAACCCTCCGAACTCAAAAGCCTCGGAAATTCGGTTTCGCTCTACCCTTCCATGATCGGAATGAATTTTGGCATCGCAACTCGCGTTCGGTTCGGGATGGCCCTCCCTAAATAACAGCTCCATCAACTTATGATACCTTGAATGAGCCTTTGACAGAATAAATCGTATTGCGAATGGTCACCCCCGATGTGGCGAATTTTCAGGCTGCGCGAGTCGCCGGGCTCCTGCTGAATTCTAAGCTCAACACGCACGGGATCATGCTCGTGATCCACACGCTGCTCAACGAAAAGAGACCCTTCGGGATGGGGCACAGAGAACGCTGCCCTCGAGGGATCACAGAGCTCTAGCTCCGGTGCTCTGATTTGGATCACTTGCTGAAGGATGGACAATATCGCTCGCTGATCTAAGCCCGCGCATTCCGTGGACAACGGCACTTTGACGGAACCACTCGAGGTCTTCTCCATCGACGAGATATTATCCGATTGCACTAGGTTGGATGATACGGGACCCATACCAGGCGGGTAAGTGCAGTGGAACAAATCATTTTGGAAGTACGCTTGCTTTCGGAATTGCTGAGACGAGCCGGGTACGATTTTTCCACTTGTTCCTTTGGTAATGGATGCGGATTGCATCAGCACTAAAGGATCGTCGGAGTCATCCATTGGGACACACTGAGGGACGCGGATGCTCACTTCTCCCATGACGTCGGTGACTGAAATCTGAGGACAGTCGGGTCCTTCAACCTTTGCGGAGCTCAATCCATCTTCATCCAAATCCTCAACAGATTCTGGGCTTCCTAACGAATCAATCACGTTTTGCTCCATTACGTCTTCCTGAATGCGACCCAAATTCGACGGAGGAGATGCCCTTTGCGGATGAACCGGCGGCGGAGTCATAAAACCTGGCGAGGTCTCCGCAGCAACAACTAAAGCACACGACAGAGCAACTGCAACCGGGATTGACGCAGTATTCATGCTATTCAAGCTTGACAGTCCACTTGTTCCCTGACTGATGGATCCTCGGCCAATTGGGGACACAGATGGATATGATGACATTGAACCGCTCGGCGAAGTGACACCAGGTTGTTGCAGATGGAGTTGCTGGATCTGTTGGCTTAGTGCTACTTGGTAGGCAGTAGATGCGTCAAGCTGACTGCTGCCGTGATGCAACGGAGAACCTACACAAAAAATCGAAGATCAATTTTCCATCACATTTCCAAAATTTGACAATATCTTGTCCCAACAGGCTAGAGTAAATTCCACCTCCATTGAACACCAATTAGAATGAAGGTGAGCTCTCTCTCTTTAACGAAATTCAAGGAAACAGAAAAACGTTCGTCGTAGAAACCCCTACAAAATGGGGAGAGAACCCTAAGCATATGGGACTTAAATAAATTCCGAACACCGAGAAATTCCTCGTAGACATCATTTTTTTTAGAGAGCCTACCTGTACTCTATAGTCTATACAGTACTCCCAAGGATCAAAAAGTCTTGGACGGCTACTGTTCCTGAAGAACAATAAATTTGCAGGCAATTTTACGAAAAAAAGAAAAAATTACCAGCACAATTGGGTGGAGAAGGAACAGGAGAAATGCAAGCGCTGGCAGAAGGGATGCCGTGTGGAGAGAGAGACCGCACACGGTCTCCAGCAGTTGGCATCCAAGGCATTTGCCCGTGACCGTCGGCATAGGGCATTCCGCCTCTTTGTTGCTGTAAAAATATAGAAGACATCAACGTCAGCAAGAAAAAACAAACAAACAAAAAAACGAAGAAAAAATTTCAGCGCCGACTCGAATACCTGCTGAAGCAGCAAACATTCTCGCTGCATTGGTGGTGGAAAAGACGGATCTAAATGAGGTGGAGTCCGTTGGTACGGGGTCCCAGTTCCGATCCCTGCCCCCAGGGGACTCCCGTCACTGGCTCTCCGAAGTTGGAATCCGGAACCAGGGACGTTGAGGTAATTGCATTTCACTTTAACTTGCCCATCTCGAGCACCTGTCGAAAACAATTCTCCTCAAGGTCTCGTCGGGTCGAGAAACTGACAACCTTAACCAAGCATTATGCGTCTAACATGCACAACAATGCATAGCTACAAAGGTTCGAAACAACCAAAAAATCATCAGCCATTACGTCAGATTGAAGACGCTTTCGATCTATCAAAGGTTAGAAGCTCACGCAGAATTCATAATCAAACGAAACGAACATGCAAAACGCTGAACGAACAACTTATTGCAGTTCGAATCTTAACGCAGAACGAATCCGATCCGGCGATTTAGTAAATCGATCAGGAAAACCACCGAATTAAACATTCCCGCATTCGAAAATAGTACCGATCACCAGAAATGGTGATATACGGAGGAATCCAGACGTAACAATATGAATCAAGAACCACGACCTGTAACCCTGAATCGTCCGTTTTTCGTGTTTCTTAAAAATGCTGTTCACCTTTTTTTCCTCCCCGGAGTTAGTGATTTCGTTTCCGCAAAATAAATTTCCCCAGTATTTCCGTCCACCCTGTCATCCCGCCTACCATGCGTCGCATCGAAGAAGTCGGGTGGTTGCTCCATGACGGTGGTCAAACCTGACCGCCGCATTCGCATTTTGCCAGTCCCAATACCGCCGACCTTGGGCAACGGTTGCAACTGTTGGAGAATGCGGTTCAGTTGCCCCTGCATACCGCGATATTTCGGCGCTGGCAAACCAGACGTGATCCCACCTTCTGTTCCAGCAGACTCCGGCCTCACCACTCCGAACACTGTACGACTCATCAACATTGAACATACCAGCTCCACTGGTTCATTTGAGTTGACCAACTTTTAGTTTTCCTATTTATATCGACCACCATTGAGTCGATGCGCTTTTCTTCCTCAATCTAAAACTGTGTTTTTGAGGACTCAAATAAAAGGCTGAACAACTTCAGGAAACATCAGAACGGCGGGATAATTACGCGTTCAGCAATCCAAATAAATGTATAATCCTATTGCTGTACGTTGAATCTGCTAAAGCACATACAAACGATCATTTCGTCGTCAAACTAGACACGAGCTGCAAACCATCAATGATGACAAGGCATCACTGGAGAGGGTCGAGGCTAATTCTTATCAACGCATTATTTTCAAGTTTGTAACATTGTAGAAAATTTTAAAAATATTCACTTCGATATCGTGAAACGGATGGGAGGGCATTCATCGCGGCACGAACTGGTGGCCAATTCTATTTATTTCTCATTAATTAGATCGGGTAGATGGGAAGTTCATAAGAACGTGGAAGATAGAAAAATATTTGATGAAATGAACTGAACTACTGCACTTCGGGTTCGATTTTGCTCGAAAAGGTTCAAGAATTGGTCTGCACGCAGAAATAAGACACCTCTCCGGTTCAAAAATTACTGTGGTGGAAAATGTATGCGGTAATGTACTCGAAGATAACATATCTTTGAGTTGAAACAGAAACTTATCCCAAAAAAATAGCCACTCGCGAAAAAAACCACGAAATCCATTTTCAACTACAAAGGAGTCTGTCAATTCGTGAGAAAAGAATGGAAAATAAATTTTAAAGAAGTGACACACGCACAGCAAACGAATACCGTACATACGGATTCAAACTAGTCAACATAAATATTAGCTACGCACAAGGAAACCTACGCTACACCTGAAACATGCAGATGTGCTCAGCTGACATACGAAAGAAAACTTTGAATGACGAAATAAATTATTCCCGGGCTTTTCCCCCGATGCTACGTACTTGGGGGTCGATCCGTGAACATGTGCAATCCGGTTCGCCGCACTCGACGACCCATTTGTGCTTCTTCGGCACTCGCCACAGTGTGCCTTTTCGCAGTCCCACGCACCGCTAAGTAACTTCATCATGGAATAGAAAATTTCACGCAAATTATTAAAAATAAAAAGAAGAAGGGGAAATTATAGTTTACTTCATAGGAATTTTACAATATTAAAAATCACATAAAATGACAGTGTTACCCTTTCGAGCTTGACTCTTTCAAAGCCAGAAATTGAAAATCAACGATATCTCAAGTTAAAGCAGAATTACCTTCTCAGGCACGCAGGAGAATTGTCAGTTGGACTCGGGGGCGGCGGAGGTTGTTCATCCATTTCCATCACTATATGATGTGGCGCAAACGCACCCATAGGCATTAAAGCAGATGCCTGTAAATTGAAGAATGAAGAAGTGTGAGAGAATCGCAATGCAAAAATTTAATTTCTTCAATATATTCAATCTTGAGATGCAGAAATTTGAGATCTTCGAAATGTTTTTCGAAGTTCAACAACACATCCTGAAACACTACTCAAACTTTCCGAGTGGCCAGTACATACCAGCCGAAGATGTTCCTGACTCCCCGAACGAGGTGTCATAGTTACGAAGGCAGAGCCTGCGGGGCTTTGGTTTTCCGAAATGTGTCCATGAGCAGTTCTTGGAACATTAGCTCCACCATCACTGGCTCGCCGTCCGAAACCTTTCAAAATCGGAAACTCAAGAATAAATACTTTAGTCTAGGTCTCTAAGACTCCAGGTGGAATTACACTTTTAAAATATAAAGTCCGTGTTTAAAAAACTAGAATTTTACTATGAAATGTCAGGTCTCATGATTTGCAAGTTTTTTCTCACACTTTCAACTGCCTACTAAGGTTTATAAAACCGATTTATGCCGCAACTTGAACGCTGGAACATCCTCAACATTCTTCATACTCCGCGATGCCTAATATTTCCATCCGAACAAAGAAGGACGTACTCCGAGTTCATGGATGCAATAAAAAAACATAGATCTTGGGAAAAGGGACAGAAAACTATCCGTTTCAGGCATCCCACTCAGAAAAATAATTTAGTCTGCAGTGGTGGGTGAATACTGGAGTGTTTGCGAATAAACATTCGTGCATGGAAATCTAGTAAGTTAACGATGTACTGATAATTCATGGATCGTCCGATAATTAAAATATTCTAGAATATGAAGATAGACTACCGAATAAATAGCGTGGCTCAATCAACTCACTAGCTCCCATGTAAGCTGGTGGTCGTAAAAGGTGAGGATTCTTCACAGAAAAATTTTCGGTCGGCAATCCTTGTAACAACGGAATGTTCACGGGGAGATTAATGTTTGGAATGATGACCGGCTTCGCAGCCCCCGCATCCACCGGATTATCAACATTGAGCTCTTGTAACGGGTGTCCAACTTGTTCGTGTAGCGTATCGCCGGGTCCCACCGTATGCCGTCGAGTCGTCAAAAATCTTTGAAAATCAAACCCAACATGGAAAATAAAAGCCGGATTTTCGATGAGGAATTTCATCTTGAATTAATCACACACAACCTTGTTTTCACCAAAATATTACCCAGTTTAGGAAAATGTTTAGCCAAAGGTGGACGATAAGCCTCACTTCGAATAGGTTTAATTGCGAACACAAAAATTCATCTGGAAAACTTCAGAAGACTAAAAACTTCAAATCACCAACACTTAAGAGACGAATAGAAAAAGATTCAGAAAGTGACTCGTTCATTGAATTAATCGAAGATTACAGCATCATAATTAGGAAATTTATCCTCTCGGCCTTCGTATGTATTTGATGGAAATCCGCGAAATTTAAATCCGACGAAATTTGTATCAATTACTGTATACTGCAGCATAAAAAAAAAAGTCCAAAATACGCTTGTCAAAAAATTAAATTAAATCACTGAGACCGGTGTCATTTCCAAGGAACTAATGGATCCTCGTTCAGCTCAAGCACAGTTTAACCGCGAAGTGATTCTTGCGACAAACGCACCTTCCGTACTGGGCATGCGGCTGATCTTCGCCGTCAGATTCGACACAATCGCCACCTTCTCCAAATTTTTCCACCATCTGATTGTCAATGACCCACTCCGGCGGTAGAGTCAGGGGCCGAGGTTGTTGTTCAGGAATCGACGAATCACTGATCGTAACTGATGGCACGTTGTCACGCACTTCACTTCGATCACAAGTTAGGCGGTCAGGTGAAGGGCCGGCACGGGGTCGTGGGACACTCAACGGACGTCGAACACTCCCCAGGATCCCTTTTGCATCCAATTGCACGAGAAGATTGTACAATGCGCTCACGTGGTCGAAACAACCCTCATTGACGCTCTGCGAACCAGAAAGATCAAAGTGCATTTAGTATTAAAGAAAAAACTGAAAGGAATTCTTTAAAAGTTCCTTCCTCAACAAAATAAACAGCACTCCAAAATCTTTGGATAGGAAAAAATGGAAAGCTTCAAAGCGCCCAACTTGATACTACAGATCTAGACCAAAAAAATTAAAAATTGGAAGCAAAAGTTTAACTTTTAACCCCAAATGAAATAAATATCGGAACATAAACTTGAATCATAATTTTGAGAAAATCAAATGACGAAACAAGAAATAGAATTGTCGACTAGAACCATCGTAGAATCGTCGACTAGAACCATAGAGTGTCTTCTGGACACACAATCGCATCAAAATATGGATCCACACAATATGATGATTTCAAGAACAGAAAATAATATACAGATTACTTCCCTAAATACGCTGCTTATTAAAATGAAGGGCAATTACTGTCGGTTCAATTCGCATCGCACCAGCGCAGGACGATATGTTTTGATACGTTTAACGCAATGAAAAATATAAGTCGATACCTCAAATTGCATAACATCCAGTACCGTACTTTTAATTAATGAGTGAAGTACACGAATGTGCCAGACCCGACAGCGCAATCATTGAAAGGCACTCCGCTTCATGAAAAAAAAATTACCTGAATTATGCGTTCCTTCGTGAGTCCAGGGATTTCTTCCATCATTTCGAGGACACTCGCGTGGAATGCATCCGGAGGAATATATTCTATTTGCGGGAAGGCTTTCGGAGTCTCATATTTGGACATTTCTACGAGACTTTCCCACTCCGGATCAGTTGGACCGGCCTTCATCCAGCGATGAGATATAATTTGGTTCATACTGTAGCGTTTATCAGGATCAACATACAGAATGTGCCGCACTAGGTGCTCACAATCTATAAAAATGACAACGGGTGTGAATTTTCCCACGCAATAAAATCGTACAAAACACTTGCCTGTTGACATGAAATACGGTACACGGAACTTTCCAGATATAACCTTAGACCTCAAGGACTGCAGCGTTGAGCCATCAAACGGCAGAGAACCGCAACGCAGGACGTACAGCACTACTCCAAGACTCTGTAAAGCATGAATCAAAAATACAAATTAAAATGAAATTTTCATGGAAATTCCCATTTACCCAAATATCAGCTTTTGGGCCGTCGTAGTTTTTGCCTTCGAATAGTTCCGGAGCCGCATAGGGAGGGCTGCCACACCAAGTGCAAAGTTTCTGGTTCGGAGTAAAGAAGTTGCTGAATCCGAAGTCTTTAAAAAATACAGATATCACATAAGTAGCGTGAAAATGCAAGAACTTAACATACACAGTCCCCACCTGCAAGCTTAATATTTTTATCGCGATCAAGTAACAAATTTTCAGCTTTAATATCACGATGGACAATGCCATTCTGATGACAGTAGAAAATGGCAGCAACGATTTGACGAAAGATCTTTCTCGTCTCTTCTTCGCTCATCCGTTTGTTAGCAACAAGATAATCTGAAATACCAAAAGTAATGAAAGCATGACAGTTCAACGTAATGTTCACAGGAATCATAACAGAAGGACATACCGAAAATTTCCCCTCCACTAGCATATTCTGTAACTAAGTAAAGCTTTTGTTCGGTTTCCATCACCTGAAAAAAATATATATATTCTACTGGAACAGAAAAGGACTTGATTCAATCAGCGTTCATACCTGATATAATCGGACGATGAATTTATGTCGGAGCATCTTCATTATTTCAATTTCGCGAAGAATTTTCTTGAGACAATCATCATCCAAGCCGACCTTGTTGATGATTTTGATGGCCACCTAAGGAACTACGAATGAGGACAGAATCGCCAAACCAGTAACAATTTTTACTTCACCTCAGTCCCGGAAATTATGTGAGTTGCCAATTTAACAACAGCGAAATTCCCTTTCCCGATGGTTTTTTGGAGTTCGTACAGTCCAACTCGGAGCAGTTTAACCTTGCTCTTCACAGGGCTGTAGATATCTTGAACAGCTGCCATAATCAGGCAACTGATGATGAACGGGGACACCAGGATATTGCGTAAGAGCTCATCGATATGGATTCAGCATCAGTCAGCCGTCAAAAAACGGCAAAACATCTTCTGTCAGTAGCCTTTGATTCGAACGCGAAACACCATTTCAACGGTCACACGACTAATTCAAAGGATCTCACGGAATTGTCACACGACTAGAGGAAGTAAATCATCCACCAAATAATGTAAAAGGCTGAAAGTCTCGATTTCACGTGTCACAACACTCCAAGAATACTCACCTATCGTAAGAGAAACACAATGCGTTCGTTAGGATTACCAAACTGGAAAGTAAATAATAAATTAAGAAACAGTTGATCATTGAATGTTCACGAACGTGGAAGAAAAGAATGTTACGAGTTCAAGTTCAGGAAAACTCGTATCGAAGCCGAAAATGAAGTAGGCATAGTTCGGGATCACTATATTAAAAAACTTGGAGATAGTTTTTCGCCTCAGCTTTAATACAGAACATAACTCGAATCTGCCCATTCATCCCTTCAAAAATTTAGATATTTCCCATTTGAATGTCGCTCACCAATAAAAATCATGAAAAATTTTAAAGTCCTTCGGAATTCCGTCAAAGAGCGACTCGAGAAATACCTTCCACTATCTGAAAATTCCCATTTTCACGTTCAATACTCGTGGGTGATTCTTCCGTTTCATCGTCGCCACTCACGACTGGAACCCAAAAATTGGTTGAAACGCCACCAGAAGCCAACATGAAGTAGGTAGGGTTAAACTTCAACACACGACAAATTGAATGAGTGGTTTCTTTCATCATGACCCTGTTTCCGGTTTCAATGTTCCATGCAAGCAGCTTCTGATCAGTCGACCCAGATAGCACGTATCGAGAACACGGCGAAAAACATGGTTCCAGGGGACCAGTAGTTGATTCACCTACTGTTCGATGTTCCTTGAATACCCTTACAACATCCCCGTTGAAAGCATCCACAATCAGTAACTGAGGACAGAATCAAAATTTCATTTTAAAGAATATACATATACACGTTGTCATGCTTCGAATTACTGTACCTTCGTTGAAGTAGAAACCGCTAGGAATTTTCCGTCTGGACTGAATTTTACATCATGCCAACTAGATTCATCGAATTCATTTTCCAACGTGAATTCTATAAACGGACCACTGTCAAAAGATCGGAGATCAAATAGTCGAAATATTCGGTCTTCCGCTCCAATCCCGAATGCCAATCCTTGAGGATCAAAGGCTGCAATAAACCTAAGTCTATGCGTAGTGGCTTCATTCGAAAACTCAAGATTTATCAATCCTTGACAATTTGGTGATCGAACATCCCACAAACGGAAGGTTCTTTCGTCTCCGGCGGATCCTGACATGAATAAATCCTGTTGTGGGCACATTTTGAGCACATCAACGGTATTCTGATGCCCTGAAAAATATCTGGAGACAATCCGTGATACTAGGAGAATGAACGGTGAGCGGAAGAGCTTACTTGATGTATTTGCTATTTGGAATATCCAAATGACGTATACCATGGTCCAGCTTCGTAGATGCATGTATGCCTTGTTCATTACAATGAGTGAAAATAACGTGTGAACAGCCGTACTTCTTGCTGCCGATATCCTTACTGAACAGACCCTGCTATGCGAATAAAATATGCCAGGATTTCTCAATTTAAAAGTAAATTCTCACTTGAACTGATTCGTAGAGACACATCTGATCGTCTTCGGCGCTACTCAAAATGAGCTCTCCATTGTCTGAAAAAGACAATGAGTTTACGGGTGCCGTGTTCTTCTCGAATGTCTTCGCAACTTGAAACTTGAAGATGGAAGCATCATTGATTTCCAATTTGGCAATAACCCCGTTAAAAAGGTCGCCTTCGTCTTCAGCGCTGTCATCTGCATCGTGATGCAAATGGGGGTAAACATTGGCATCGATCAAAGACATTCCTGAATTGGGCAGCCTTTCACTTGACGCATTTCACGAGACTAAACGCGAATTAAAGCCGATATTGAGCTCGCGTCAGCCATGGGTACAGCTAGAAAGAGTAACACTCTTTTTCCAGTATTCACAGAATTATCTGAGGCAAAACCAAGGACAAGGTACAATGAATTCACAATGCATATCAGAGCAAGAGGCACACACTATGTCCGGGACAAAGAAGTGTTCCGTACAATTCAATATCAAGCTCCAAATTGGTTCAGCTTTAACTTAGTGAAGCAATAACTGAACTAACTTGTTCATTCCGCAAGACTGGCGATTCCTTTCGTCACCACCCTTACGCAACCTCCGCTATTATTTTTACGAAAAACACGAAGGACTAGTGCTTGTGGTTAATTTCGTCGACACACATACGCGCTCAAAATTATTCTTAAATCGCCTTACGCGCCATCGCCCAGAATTCGATAACAGCTTGGCAATCCACACTTCGCAAAGCTTCCGAGAATGCGAAACAGGGCAGTACTCGAAAATGGGCTATAAGAGCTCCTCCTAAGATGTGATGGTGAGTGGCTCCCTCTATATTGAAGACAGTACTGCCGTCCTGATCGCACTTGTTGAATGCTATTGCCGAAAGTTACGTGAAGATCCTCCCATGAGGATGGTTTTTTGTTTTGTCAGAATTTTTGATGCTGTACCTTAAAGTTAAGACCCGTAAATATGCTTGCTCGATTTAGTTAGTCGTGGTAAATTTGAAAATTGTCTGTACTGAGAAACACGTCTGTGTAGAGAAATTTCACACATTAGGTCAGTTGAAAACATTGGATCAGTGTTCCAAACCCTTTTGGGGCTGGTGGACCAGCATTTTCCTTATTATTACTGCTGAGTGCTGACTAGCTGACCGGAAATTTTCGAAATTACCAGTTGAATGGAAAACAATAATCCTCTGTATGCTTCCTGCATAATTACAATTGGGGAATCCAATTCATTAAACTAAAAAAGGAAACGAATAATTCATTTGCAAATTTTACATCATTATGGTGTATGCACTGGGACATTTTGAAGGAAAGGGGATACAGTATTTTAAAAAAAACCAAGAAAGTCGAATGGAGACATTTTCCAGCGGACTGCAAAAAAAAAAAAAAGTTTTACATACTGAGACCAGGTTGCAGAATAAGTAGCAGAACACGTACTGCATTATATAGATGATAGCCACAGTAATCTGAATCCCATACTGTCCCAGTTTAATGGTCTGGTACATTCGTGTGATTCGTCAAATTAAAAAGGTAACTTTTGAATATTAAAATACGGTATAAAATATTTGAGGCACCGTATATATGTGAATGGCGCTCTGTGTTTTATTCACACGTGGTTTAGAATATTTTGCCAAAATTACGCAATAAAATGGAAATGAGGAGACGAAGTGCCTGAACCTTTGAAACCAATCCCATCTTTGAAAAAAAAAGTATAGAGATAATCTGACGTTCAATACCTTGGTTTAAGTACAGTACTGTATTCAGTATACGACACACCATAAAAAAATCACTGCAATAAATAATGGAGCTTGCTTTTCTTTTTTCTTTCCTTTCGAAAAGCTCGCGCGCATTTCCTATAGTATAGGTGAATAAGGAACACGGAAATGCGCCATTATAAATAACAAATACACTTCCGCCCGGGGTTCCAAGAAGTTTTATTCTTAAATTTGTATTTCCATCAGCACAGATTTCACGAGTCATCAGCATCAGCAGGACTTCTTTCTCGCCGACAAGACCGACTCCTGCTGGCGCGTCGGACCCTGCTGTCATCGTAAATGGCCGCGTTGTAAACGTCGTCGGGGTCTTCACCCCTGGCAGCCGTCGTCGTGTCACTGCTATCAATAACCGAGAAAGTCGCATTATTCGTCATCGTCGGCGCCCTGCTGCTTCCGCCGCCGCCGGCGTTCATTGACGGACGCCTCCAGGGGCGGAAACTCGTGAAAGCGTCCACGCCGTGTCGCGGCAACGCAGCGGCCCATCTCAATAGCCTGTTCCTGGTAACTGCTTCCTCGCTTTGCCACTGCGTGCTGTCGGTTGTTTGCGAGGCCAGAGCCGGCTGGGAACTGTTGGCTATCGCCGATGGGCTATTAACCACTGAAGCAGAACAAATATGGTACAAACGGCTGCATACTCTAATACTGTTCGCACCTTTATTAACTCGGTTATTAACTGCTGGGATGGTCATCACATATAGTCGCCATCATCCAAACTGATCGGAAATGGCCACACTATAAATTTATCATGCGCGAATGTGCATGACAATGACATTTATTTTTAAAGGCAAAGATTATCGGCTGAAAAATGTTTTTGCGAAAGGCATTCGATGCGTTATATATTTACAGGTGATAAATTGCATGATCTGTACCCAATTGTTGCATAATTTTTTGAGCTTCTCGCTTATTATTTAATCACTGTGGTAAACTGCAGCGATTAAACTGGCCGACAAATGGAACTTTCGAGACCAGAGCTGGCATGGGAACTGTTGGCTATCGTCACCGATATGCTATATTAACGCCTGAATCAGAACAAGCATACGGTCTACTGTATTGTAAATGGCTGCATTACACCTTAATTAACTGGTATGTTAAAGGAATCATCATATATTCGACATCATCCAAACGGATCGGGATTTGCTGTATAGTATATATATACACCTATCATGTTCGAAAATGTTCGACATTGATACTTTTTGTTCAAGACGAAAATTATTGGCTGAAAAATACATTTGCGAAAATCCTTACTTATTATATTCGCAGGTGATGATCTGCAAAAACTTGTCAAATAATTTTTAGGCAACCCGCCTTAACAAAAGCGTAAACACTTCCAAAAATGTTTCATTACCATACTGTTTGGTGAAATGCACAAGTTGGAGGAAATCGCCTCCAAGTTAAAATAAATTTTCGAATCACACTTATTTAAAGAAACTGATTTCCTTGACTAATTGTCTACTTCTATGAGATTGGGAAGATATACAGTAATTTAATGCACCCAAAGGAAATATTAAAATTATTCTGTGGGGATTCTATGTGCTCTCAAATCGTGCTGTACTGTTCGTTTCAGTGTTTGAGAGACATACAACCTTTGCGGATGCTGTTTTCTGGCCAAGTTTCCGGTCATACAGATTTTAGGCTACTGCTTAAATCTGTCGGATTTATTTTTTATTTATTTTGAACCTGGTGTTGTTGTGGATCCCGCTTCGTCATCTGCTTCTTCGCCATCGTTCGCACTCGGAATCGAGGGATTAGACAATATTTCGTAGAAATCCGCATCCAGGCTACTCTCGAGGGTGAGATTATCCAGAGCTGCGCGTCGGTCCTCTTCTACACTAGGTGTCACTCCTGGGGCTTGTACCATTGGCTGAAATATCCGAAAGTGAACGAAGACAGTACCAGCAATCAATGAGGCTCATTTAATCACATCCGTAAAAAAAAAATGTTCATGATTATCTGCCATATGTCACATGCCTAACCTTGAATAACTAACTTAGTACAGTACCTCTTATACTCTTAACTTATAACATCAATTGAATTTCGTTCGGGATTGCTCGATCAAAATTAGTTCTATCAGCACTATCATCAATATGACGGGGTCCCGCGGAGCTCTATCATATTGAGAACCTCTGATAATGCTTTCTTACACTGATTCTTCGAATAGACCGGCCAGGTCTACTTAGAATGTATCTCAAGGAAGCAACCCCTGCTCCATCAACGCCGCCCTGTCCAGCTCCTGAATCTTGTCTTTGTCGGTCTCGCGGTGATCGCGGAACATTCTCGACTACATTGCCGTTCGTGGAATTATTGTTGTTCCTTCCAGTCACTGCGAATCCGTAGCTCGTGTAACTCTGCAGTATGCTTTCTCGATTCCTCGCGCTTCGTAGAGGGCCTTCTTGATGGGCATCAGCGTTCGTTGGACTCCTCCTGAAGTAAACGTAAAGCACCGAACAGCATAAGATGAACTGATGAACAATGACGTTATGGTCTTAATCTGCAGAATATAAGGGTGAAAGGTCAAGCGAGCGCAAAGCTGGGTGGGAGCGACACCTAAGTCAACGCATCAGCATCAGCTCCTCTTTGAGCTGCTGTTGAGTGCCAGTTTATTGACAATGCTGAGCGGTATGCATCAGTATATAACACAATAACCATAAGAAAAACAGCTCTAACGCATCTGTAATATATTTTAAATATGAACTTCAATGCAGGCATTCCTTGTTTTGAGTCTTTCTTGATCCTGGACGAACAGGCATTATTGATGCAGTAAAAATCGTCCTATTTGCCGGTATACAATAGATTTCAATGCCACAAATGAAAACCAGGATATATAGGTACGTGAAATAGATAAATGCATGGATCTGAAGGGAAACCTGATGTCCTACAAGGTAAAAAAAATAAAAAATCTGCAATTTACGGTATACAGAAACGCTCAAGTGAGTGAGCAAAACTTTTTCGAGCATATATTTAAAAAAAATATCGTGTGATGCTGACTACAGGACTTTTGAGACTACAGTATTTCAACTTTCGGGATGCAAAATTAACAATAATCATGGCAGTTTCAATTTACGATTGTGATCACTTCGGAAACAAAAACTATACGACAAAAAATCTTAACTGAAATATTTATCGATAAGTAATTGAAATTTTCTGGCGTTTTTTGGTGGCAACTTTGACAATATAAATGTTTTAATATATTAGCCACGATCTGTTGGCAAAGGCTGTTAGAGACTTTACTCATGAAAATTACAGAAACTCAGCTTCGATTGACTATATGCATACGGTACTTATATTTGAAATGTGTGCGTCGGAGAAGGAAATGCAATGCGATTTCAAATTTTCGAAAATTTCAGTTAGTAGAAGTACTGTACTGTTACTACTGTACTTGCGATTGTCTTTGAGTTGGACATTTTCTGCAGTTTCAGTTAAGTTGTATATTTCTTTCTATGATAGTGATTGTGAATTTCGCCATGCCTCCATTAAGATGACAAATGAATGCATTATTCACTAATGAGATGAACAGGATATGTTTTCTTCAGCATCAACCGCAGCTCTTCGTAGTGAGCGCCAGGAAAATCGCGGGTATTTTAAATTTATTCATTATTTGTAGGTGTCGCTCGCTTGCCCAGAAAACAGATTCCTTATTCACCAATAACCGCGATGAACTAATGAAGGTCGCTCTGCCGGTATCGGGTACCGCGTCAGATCCAGGACGTGCTTAGATTTGTCATTTTTATCGCCTCGAACATCTTCCATGATTGATGTTTTGCTACAATTTCATGTAGCCTGAGGTACATTGATCATAACGAGGGGTAAGTGGAAGTAAAAGTAATTGATCTAAAAGGGATGTAATCTGTGTTTTATTTTTTCAGCGATACGATGAAGACTTAGCCAGCCTGAGAAGCGGGGAGAACTTCGTGAGGTTTTCTGTGCACTGTACTTCATTATTCATCTTGTGATGCACATTACTTTTCACCCCCTTCGACGAAGATGTTTCGTAGCTTCAGTAATGATCAAATTAAAGCATTGTTTATGGTCGAAAATTAAATGTTCTGATGTGGGGATACAAATGAATTTATACCGTCTTTTATCGGCTTTTCGAATATGACCGAAAGGCACATGGTTTCTTTAAATTATCAGAGTCCAAATTAATTCACGGGCCAGGGCTTCAATACACACAAAATTTAGCCGCCCTTTCCTAATAATCAAACATGTGGGATTGATTTGCTTTTGAAGTGTTGCGTAATAGTATTGTTGTGAATAACCGACGCTCAAATATTATTTATTTTTAAAATTTGTCCATGGATCAAAATGGTCGTGATTTTGAATTTGGAAAAGACTCGCTGTCTCAAAAATAATTACGGTCTGCATGAAATTAGCCGCACGTATCCACGAAAAGTGTGTGAAAAAATCTCAGGGCTTCTATATCGAATTTATGACATCTACAGTCGAATTTAGCTTCGAACTTTATTTCAAAATTTTTAAAATAACATAAATAACATACATTTTATGATATTGAAGCCTTCAAACTGCCATTCGTAATTTCATAAGGGTTTGGTCTCAAAACAGATCTGCTATCCAATTTTTAGAATATATAAATTTAAGGAAACTAGTTGGTCTTTATCGAAAAATCTCGTGAGATTTCAGAAATCATTGATTACATTCCGCAGAGAGACGGAAGGCAAAAGAAGCTTTGCTGCATTACACAAAATATGGCAATTTTTCTCGTGAAATGAAGCGAAACATCGTTAAATTGACCGAGTTGCACGTCAGAAATGCGGACTAAGTACCGGCTTACCAAGTTGCTGCCGACATGAAACGACGACATTCTTCCGTAACTGGCCATGAACTCATCGACAGTGTCGATCGGGTCGATGACTTCTCCTTATTCCCACATCATCTAAGCCAGAATTTCAATTAAAGAAATAAACTAAAGTCGAGTCCCAAGTCCTCACATTTACCGAAAAAGCCACTTTAATTATTCAATCACACCGCAACGCTCTATTCCACTCTTTTCTGTTCACCCTTTCTCGCAATTCTCTTCATTGTTTTATTTTTGGCAAGATTTCGTCGGGAAAAAAAAACACGAACCGTAGCGAGTTCTTACTCGAAATTCGGACAGACAAAAAAACTTCGGAAAAATGCCGCGAGTTCCAAAAAATAAAAATCAGGACGAAGGTTTAAAGCTAGTTGTTTTTAAGGTTTCAAGACAAAAGGAAAAGCGACAAACGAATCATTCTTTTTTAGCCATCCACATCCTTGAATTTAAAATTCGCGAACATCTTCCAAATTGTTGCTTTTTGCGTTCATGCTGAATTACACGAAAATAGGTGATGTGAATGTGCACTTGAGCGGAATATCCCTCAGGAATAACGTTAATTTTGCTGTTTTTCAATAGTTTTTGCCCGGATAATTCAGATGCGAAAATAAATTCTTCTTCGGTTTAAAAATAAGATATTTACCGGATACAATTTCAATCCATGTTGCTTCAAAAAACGTCGATAGACATCATTTTTGCGCAATTTAATACCCATGCTTCAAATGTCCAAAAATTGAAAAAAAATCTAAAAGAAAATAATATTTTCGATTGAAAATTGAATAACGCTAAGTTCTTTGTCGATTTCTAGCGGGAAAAAATCAGCGCTTGGCCATTTTAATTGCATAAAATTTGAAACTGTCGGTATACTTGCGGGAACTTTCAGCCAAGTGCACATTTGAGCCAAAAATCCCCCTCGGATGACTTCAGCAACATCCTCTCGACGAAATACGTTTGCGGGAAAAAAAGAAAGAAATATTTTCATGGCTTCGGAATAATGGCTATACCTATTTTCTTATTGCTGCTTGCTTTTCGAATCCCTCGGTTGAACTCGCTACTCATCATTGACACTCCCAGCACAACACGAACATTTATGACATAAATAAAATCAGCAGCATCAGTGCAAGACCTTTCCGGGACGCTTTTTGTCCAGGACGACCCAGAAACTCGGCGATCGAAGGAAAGTGCTGTCAAACTGCGGTCGTTTCGGTATGAAATCCTTTTCAGAAGCGTCCGTCATCACGACGGGTGTTTTAGAATTAGACGTCGCCGTTGTCATCGTCGATATTGTCGACATCTCAGTCCTGGCTGTTGTTGTTGTTGTTGTTGGTCTTTCTGTTATTTCAGGAAGAGGTGCCTTTGATGATGATGATGACGGAGCTGATGGTGGCGCGGTACCAACATCATGATCATCATCAACATCATCATGAGCCTTCACGATGAGGTCTGTTGATGTTAATAATGATGCTGATGAGGTGGGCTGATCAGTATCATCAGCAAGCAGACTTTCGGCGGATTTGAAATCCGTTTCAACCTTGGAGATCTGGGGTTGGATTTCGGCCAGGACCTGCTCCTGAGCCGGGCTTTCGGTTTTTTGGTCATCCACGGGTTCCATGGTGGGAACGATCGGTGCTTCTGTGTTGTCTGCTGATACCCGGTCTGGGTCTGCTTGGATTATTTCCACTTCCGGCTCGTCATTGATTTGCGGTGGGCTTTGTTCAGCGGATGTGGCCAGGATTACGACCGGCGAATCCGAGTCTTTGGCTTGATCCGCGGTCGAAGTAACGATTACCTGGGGTAGGAAACACAACTTTATTAGGATGATGACAGTGAGAAAAGAACCGAGGCGAGAAGGAAAAAGGGGAAAGGGGGGACGAAGCAAAATACTGTACAGTGGGGGCATCAATGAAGTTACGACATGAATTCCTCATGCGAGTATACACAATTAACCTGAAACACGAACAAACAGGATGAAACGAAAAAAAAAAACTTTTCATGAAAAAAGAAAAGTTTGGTGTAAAATGCACGATATATACATTTATTATCTTGACTAATGTAGCCTATTTTCATGCTATAATCGTCGATATTTGTGCTTATACTGTACCTGGGTTTGAAAGCATATGAAACTAATAAATTATTTTTAGTGTGAAATATTAAAACGAGTAAACTTTGCTTGCTTGACTATATACCTGCTGACTATTATTCCAATGTAATCGTTTTGGATTTGAAAAATTGATTTTACTTGGATTCGAAAAATTGATTTTACTTGGATCTGAAAAATTTATTTTATTTAGATTTGAAAAATATATTTAACTTTGGATTTAAAAAATTTATTTTACTTGGATTTAAAAAATTGATTTACTCGGATTTGAAGAAAATGAAAGTAAGAATCTATCAGCATGAAATGTTAAAACAAGTAAGTGTTGTTAAGTTGACTGTCTGCTGACTTTTATTCAACTGTATAATCGTTTCGAGTTTAAAAACCTATCTGCTGTATATCTGGAAACCGAATCCATTGCATTTTTAATGCGGAAAAATTATTCAAAATTTACAAAAATTACTAGCATGTTCCTGTGTATGTGACGACTGATTATTCTTTCAGAATATTTGAAAATCGTATCATTAGAAACCTACTTTTCATTGTCCGCGACAAATTAAGAGTGTAGTTTTTTTATTCGCTGTCGTCTTCCTTCGCAAGTGGATTAAATCGCAGTCGAAACAGCAAAATTTTGAAAGAAAAGCGTTTGAAATTCAATCGAAGTCTCGCAAAATGTTCAGTTCCCCGGTCAAAGACTACAAATCTTGATTTCCACGGAAAGGGTTGAGAAGATTAAGGCGGTAACTAAAAAGCGTGCAAATCAATGGTTCTCAATAAATTGCCTTCATAAAAGCATACAACACATTAATGTTTTAGTATTCTTTGGAGGAGTACTAAAATATCAAGGGGAAGTCATTGAGCGTTTCATATCCGGAAGTCATCTCGTCCTAAATTTGCGAAAAGTATGAAAATCTTTACAACTTTTTTATGAGCGCATCTTTGAGCTGGTATTAATTAATTTTCTGAAGGTAATTATCACAACGCCGAACATCGGAAGGAAACGCATGTAAGTAAATTCGGAAATTACCTGGAATTTACGACATAACCATGAAATTCTTTAAAAACATTTTTATGAGCGAAGCTTTGATAGCATTGCGATAGCATTACCTTCATAATATATGAAGGTAATCATCGGTGGCTATAACATCGAAGGGAATTTTATTTGATTCAAGAAATTCGGAAATCGATTTAAAATTTTCACTATACAAAGACAATTTTTTCAATTTTTTTCATGAGCGAAGCTTGAAGATAATACTGTATGTTTGTTTTCAGAATTTAATCATCGGCGCTTGACATCCAAGGGAAATAACGGTTTCAACCCAGGCAATTCGGAATTCAAATGGAATCGCAGATTAGCACTAAAATATTCAACATTTTAAATCGAAACTTTATGGGAAATTATTCATTTTCTGGATGTGATCCTTGCCGGCCATAACCTCAAACAAAAACACTTGCTCAAGTCCATTCGGATATCAGATGTGATTTCGGATATCAGATTAAATTTTCGAAAACCACGATAATCTTTTCATTTTTCATGAGCGAAACATCAAGGGTAATTATTTTTTATGAATTTAATCATCGCTGCCCAACATCGAATTGCAAATGAATTTTACTATGGAAATTTGGGAAATAAATGTAAATTCCAAAGACCACGAAAATCTTCTGGAAAAAATAAAAGAATTGTGCGTAAAACAATGGAAGAAAAAAATGGTGCAGGCATTCATTGATTTTCTGATGGTAATCATCGGTGCCTGTAATGGCTTCAAAGAAAAACGTTTCCAATAATAAATAGTGATCCCGGAAATCAAATGAAATCAGCGATTATGACAAACCATGAAAAATCCTTCAAATTACCGTTTGTCCTTCATTCTGCTGAAGGGCAGCAATGTGTTGTTCCTCAGTCGAGGATAACGCTGATGATGTCTCAGTGCCAGCCACGAATACTTGGGAAGTAGTTTCGTTTTCCATCGGTGATTCCGAAGCCGAGGTCTTTTGCTGCTGCTGCTCAACTTGGGGTTCTGGTTCTGCTTCTGGTTCTGCTTCCGGCCCGTCTTTATTATCTTTTTCCGCCGCGATAACTTCATCAACGACTGCTTCTTGCTCGACAGGTGGTTGCTTCGATTCCAGGGCCGTCGGTTCCGATTTCGGGGTTTCGCTTTCCGCCGGCAGTACCAGGGAAGCGGGTTCGGGTTCGGGTTCTGGCTCATCGAAGACGGGCAATGAGTCGGGATCAGCAGCCTGAGGCTCCTCAGGTGTTTGGATGCTTTCCTGATTGTCCGGCTCGTCCGATTTGATGGGTTCCTGCTGGGCTTCGGGCTGCTGCTGATTGTCGGCACTTATTGATGCTGGTGATTCGCTGGATGATGATTGAATCACGAGGGATGACGTGATGGACAGAGAGCCTTCATTGCCTGATTGGAAGTTGTGATGGACAATTATTAATTTTTTAAATCCAGAGATTTGTAGGGGAGTTCGTAAATTTTTGAGGTTTAAATTCTCTCGATTATGAGTGTATATCCACGCATCCAATTTTCAAGTGTGGTCGTAGCTCAAGAAAGAAAACGAACTTCCATGCGAAATGCCCTTCTCTTGAATTTAAATCATCTATAATTGGCAAAATCACGGCTTAATACATATAGATCTGTTTGAATCCAATGCAATTAGCTCAGAGAAAAAATAATTTCTACAGTTAGCGGTTGCAACATCATATTTATTTTGCTATAAGCCAAACTTTTTGATTTGAAATGGTGCTCTGAAATACTGATGTGTCGAAACACACATTCAAATACAGTATATTATCTATTGTATTGCTCACCCAAACCGTCTCAATGCATCATAAAAAAATTGGAATATGAAAAGGAAATAATTATTTTAGCCATACGGGAATATCGAGTCATTCGATTTTTACCATCAGGACTAAGCAAGGCTATATTCTCTCTAATTAATTTACTCTCTCTCTCTCTAGGTAATTCACTCTCTCTCTCTAGTTAATTTACTCTCTCTCTCTAGTTAATTTACTCTCTCTCTCTCTCTCTCTCTCTCCATCTTTACGTAAAAACTAGCAGATTGTCCTTGTAATGATATTTGAAGTCTCGTCGCCAGGCTTTATATACTGTACATCGCTGAGGAGAGTGGGGATCAACGAGACATTTATTTGTAAGTACAGTACAGTACAGTACAGTATTTTACCCTCGAGGCCTGACCTTCCCAGCTGTTATATGTACACCGGTTGTCTAGGTTCTTGAACCTCTCCAGCCCTCGTTTTTAATCAATCACGCAAGAAGCAATGGGCAAACCTTGTTCCTGTTCCTTGTCTGTTTCAGCATCAGCATCCATCGGAGTCTCGCCTTCCTGTTTGATTCCAGGTTGAGCAGCAGCAGCAGCAGCAGCAGCCGCGTCCAGTCCTTCGTCACCTTCGCAGACGCATCAGCAGGGGGGAGACACGAGCGAGACGAATTATACACTTTGGACGATATATGCGCGGATGAATAAATTTGTGCCTTTTTTGTTGTGTGTGATTATAAATACAGTATATATACGTAAACGAGACTATTGTTTTTTATAGTTTCTTGAGGGCATGAGCTATAGAGCTAGACGATGACACGCCATTGTCTGATGTGGCAGTCTTTGTCCTCCGACTGGAAGCAGCGCGCGTGCTTGGGGGCACCGTGCGCGCATTTCAACCCGCTCGATTTTCGGTATGGGTTTACAAAAAAATGAGGGCTACAAGTTGTCCAAGTATAAAAAAAATTAAGAATCAGAAACAATAAGAAATAGGCATTTGTATAGGCTTTCATGTGACAAGGACACAACCCCTGACGAGGTGCTCGGCGGCACGCTGCGCGCATTTCAACTCGCCCGATTTTCGGTATGGGTTTCCAAAACATAAAAAAGGTTAAAAATTGTCGTAATATACAAAATTAAGAATAAAAAATAATAAGAATTGGCAAATTTGAATAGGCTTTCATGTGACAATGACTCATTTCAACCCGCTCGATTCGTTTTTCGGTATGGGTTTCCAAAACGAAAAAGGGTCACAAGCTGTCCAAGTATAAAAAAAATTAAGAATCAGAAACAATAAGAAATGGGAATTTGTATAGGCTTTCATGTGACAAGGACACAACCCCTGACGAGGTGCTCGGCGGCACGGCGCGCGCATTTCAACCCGCCCGATTTTCTGTATGGGTTTCCAAAAAAATGAGGGTTAAAAGTTGTCAAAGCATAAAAAATCAAGAATCAGAAACAATATCAAATGAGAATTTTTATAGACTTTCATGTGACAATAAGAACAAAACCCCTGAGGTGCGCGCAGTTAGTTCGGATTCATTATCTATAAAAATTATAACGCACCCCCCCCCCCAAAACCAAGTTATTCTTCAAAAATGATCTTCGGGCATCCTATAAAATTTAAATAATCATTAGAAGAAATATTTTCTTTGTGAAGTTCGGATTCATTATCTATAAAAATTATAACGCCCCCCCCCCCCCAAAACCAAGTTATTCTTCAAAAATGATCTTCGGGCATCCTATAAAATTTAAATAATCATTAGAAGAAATATTTTCTTTGTGTCTTAACACGCGTACTATAGGGTTTTCAAACAATAATCTGTTTGGCTTTCGATTTCTTTTCGTTCATGGTTTTTCATTTTCAAAGAATTGCTAACTTAGTTTGACAATCGTGAAGAGTTTTACCGTTCTCGGCAACAGTATAGAGAAATAAAAGTAAATTTGAAAGCCCTTTTTGGCCATATGATTTCTCCGACGCATTTTCCGAAGTATTGACTATATTCAGAATCACAGTTTCTGTGTCTGAAATTAAAAAAAAAGGTGGGCGCTCTCTTCAACGAAATCCAAGGCGGCAGAAAAAATAAATTCTTTTTATAGAGGGAGTCCATCTGATATAATGAAATTACAGTACCGTATTTCATTAATCAAAATTTAATCAAGTATTTCACTTAATTAAATACGAATAGAATTCAAATTATCCTGTCAGTGACCTAGCTTTATAACTCATCATATATCCAGCATTGGAATGACAATTTTCTCCATCCAAATATACGTATATGAGCTCCAATCAGATTCAACAAACTTTCGTAAGCGCCTTCATGACGTATAAATCTCGCCCGGGAAACTTGGAAATGTGGCACAGTTTCTTCCCCCCCCCCTTTTTTTCTAAAAAGGATAATTCTTGTCCATAAATATGCACATTTATATATTTTTTTATATATTTACAGTATTGACTCATCCTCTCTCCTTTTGTCATGTGTCTGCGAGTCTCGTCGGTCGCTGCTGCGAAGGCGCGCATATCATTGCCCTCGTGAGTTTAACGGTCTGCCGCCGGCGGATCAATCGGATTACCCACGCAAGGATTTTTCCCGACTTTAAGTTCGGATTCATTATCTATAAAAATTATAACGCACCCCCCCCCCCAAAACCAAGTTATTCTTCAAAAATGATCTTCGGGCATCCTATAAAATTTAAATAATCATTAGAAGAAATATTTTCTTTGTGGCTTAACACGCGTACTATAGGGTTTTCAAACAATAATGTTTGGGTTTCGATTTCTTTTCGTTCATGGTTTTTCATTTTTAAAGAGTTTCTAACTTAATTTGACAATAGTCAGGAATTTTACCGTTCTTGGCAAAAAAAAGAAAAAAAGAAATAAAAATAAATTTAAGAGGCCATTTTGGCCATATGATTTCTCTGAAGCATTTTCTGACGTAATGACTATACGTATTCAAAATCACAGTTTCTGTGTCTGAAATTTAAAAAAAAAAAAAAAGGTGGACGCTCTCTTCAACGAAATTCAAGGCACCAGAAAAAATAAATTCAGTTTATAGAGGGAGTCCACCTGACTTAATGAAATTACAGTGCCGTATTTCATTAAATATAATTTAATCAAGTATTTCACTTAATTAAATACGAATATAAATCAAATTATCCTGTCAGTGACCTAGCTTTATAACTCATCATATATCCAGCATTGGAATGACAACTTTTTCCATCCAAAGATATACGCATATGAGCTCCCATTAGATTCAAGAAACTTTCGAAAGTGCCCTCATGCTGCCGTATAAATCTCGCCCGGGAAACTTGGAAATGTGGCACGGTTTCTTCCCCCCCCCCCCTTTTTTCTAAAAAGGATAATTCTTGTCCATGAATATGCACATTTATATATTTTTTTATATATTTACAGTATTGACTCATCCTCTCTCCAACAGTACACAGACGCTCAGAGCAGCCAGCGACGACGCTTCCGCGCGTATAGTAACGGGAGCACTCAAATTGCCAGACGGCGGCCGCCTAGTTAGCCTAATGGGTGCGTTCCTAAAAAGGGCTGAAAGTTTTCCCAGAAAAAATCCAGGTCGGGTGTCTGCTGTCTTGTGTGACCAGGACGCCATTGACGAGTTTCAGGATCACAAGAAGACAATTTTTTCCAGGCATTTATGATTTATTTATAAAAAAGATAGAATAAAATAATAGAGAATTTATAAAATAATAGGAGAGAGAGAGAGTCGCTTAGAGATAAAATACAGTAATTTACTGTATAATGTGCTTCAAAAATATTCATTTTCGCAAGATAATACGAGGGTTGATTCATACGTTTTGAAACTTTTCAAAATAGATCCAATGGAGTTTCAACAATTCAAAAATTTTTGCTGTACTTCCATATATATAGCCTTATCATTTGGCAACACTTCAGTGCTGTTGAACCTACTCTCCTCCGATTTCTATGCATTTTTTCATGTAATAAATCAAAAGGGTACGTAATCAACTAACAGAACTGGATTTTCGGCACGGTTGTAATCGTTGGATTGCATGAAAATATGCTCGGAAATCGGCGGAGAGTATGCATAACAGCACTGAATTTTTGGAAAGTGATGTGACTATGCGGATAGCATTTTTATTTTGAATTGTTGAAAGTCTGTTGGATCTAATTAAAAAAAAAGTCTCAAAATTTATGAACCAACTCTCGTATTTGATGCTGTGCTTCAACTCTTGCTTGTTCGTGTGTTGAGGATAGAGACAAAGCGCAAAGTTAATTGGCTGAAATTTTAAAAATAAAATGTATGAAAATATGTATTCCTGCATACATAAACAATTTATTCATAAGCAACTCGAGAAATATTGTTGCATAATTCCTAATATCAAATTTTCTGATTGAAAAATTAAATTACAACCTGTAATTCACGCAAACTGTTCTTTTTTCAAAAGTGTACTGTCAGAAAAATTCCTAAGAAAAACTATGTGATTGAAATCTCCATTCATGTTCGAAAACATATGAAGTGCCTCATATTCAACATGAGAAATTATTTAATTTATGATCTGCGTTGCTTCGTTAGTCAGCATTTTTGATAAACACAAATGCTGCCGACGTTTAGTCCGGTGAACATTGGCATTTTCGCTCATCACCATCTTTACTCGTGCACAGACGTTTGTCTGTTTTATACACCAGTCTTTTCGAATCATTCTTTGATTACACAGAAGAAATCTATTCTGGAAATTTCCTTTAAAAAATTAACTCGTATGTTTGTACCTCATTGATTGTTGAACAGCAGATTCAGCATGCGGTCCTTTTCATAACTTGTATTTGTTAATCGTATTGGAAGAATAAAAAGGGAGTTTTTGATCTTCGGCTTTTATTGTACTTTTTCAGTTAATGCAAAACAGAAATGCCTTTGTGAGCCGCTTGTCTTTTTCAGCGTGCCACCTTGTAAATTGAAAAAATTTAAACATTAATTTTCTATCGAGGTTTTTGATTTTTAGCCTAGAAACTCGTTATTTGATGGACTCAATTTTTTGTAAATTTCCACGCATGTACTATACGTCTTCGAGGAAACTTGATTAAGGTACCATATTTACCGTACTCAAATATCCCCTATACTTTTCACCCCAAAATTGTGATCAAAAAGTGGGGAGCGCATAACACGTAACTGGAGTATAAATTGTTCCTTCAAATTGTTTATAAATTCCTGAGTGCATTCTCATTGGATTACATGACGGATAAATTATAGAAACAGGAACAAATTAAAATTGAAATCTAATTCCGGAAGATTAGTTCATACTTAGCTATTAAAATCGACGCGACACCAAGACTTTAACATTTGTAGTAAAGAGACTTTTGACCCTACACGCGCACAATACGGTATGCAAAGAAGAGGATTAAAACGTCGAGAAAAAGAAATTTGTGCATTTTAATTGACTAAATATGGAGTATATGTCCTGAACTGTACCTTGTCCTTCGATTTTTAGCTTTTTACCTCGTCGAATTATAAAGAGGAAGTTCTTTTTGATCTCCTGGTTTTAACGGATACATTTCAAAACTGTACAGTAATTGAATTCTCCTTCGTTCAAGTTTGAATCAACGATTCTAGCTGTGTCGTGATTTTGACATTGCAAACATTTTTCTCTG